TTTCTAGCTGCGGTACTAACTGCAGCTGTTACAACTTGTGTCACTTCCTCCTCAATATGATTCTATACTTGCTTTGTATATTTCGATATCAAATGTATTTAATCTGGTTAATCTGGCCGAAATGCCAAAATCTCCTGTTCATTTTCCAAATTTTCTTCCATAGTACAGTAGTACCACAAGTTTAGGCAAAGGAAGAAAACTTTCTTTCCTTAGTAACATCTTGTGTACGGTATTTCCCTGTTTGATTGTGGGGATAGAAAAAAGGAAGATTTATTAGTTCTATTTTTTCTAGGTCTACAGTTAGAATGTTCATGGAAGCTTCTAGACATGATGGCCATATTGATGTTTACATAGACAAAATTAGTTAATAGACCGTTACAGACAGCGATATCAGTATTAATAGTGATGTATGACATTAGAATTGATATTTATAATTAGTTATTATCCATTAAGTTTCCTATCTGTTTAATATGATTTTGTATCGAGTTATACGTTTGGAGTATAACTTACTTATTACAGTATCACAAACGGATATATGCTAAAATACAGGATTGGATATTTACGCGTATAAATTGAATTGTAGCATGTTCTACAGACGCAATATAATCATACTGTCAGTACTGGTATGTACTAAAGTAGATTATTATAACGACTGCATAAATCGTATTCATTAAATTTGTAAATTGTGGAAATAGTTTATCTGGAGCATTTTATGGAAGACGAAACTATAGTATCCTACGCTAGAGCATGAGCTACTAAATTATATTGGTGCATCTAGTAGTCCATGACCAGAGCATAATGTTTTCTTTTAATACTTTGCTTCTGTTATTTGTACTTTAATTTAATTACTACCGATTCACAATTTCGTATACTTGTTGCTTTCTTGTTAATAATTAACATATATATATATATATATATATATATAATTATAATAAACAGGCAGACAGTTAAGCCCATACATTTCTTTTTGCAGAATCCATCATACTGAATGACCCTATCTTCGGCAATAAAGATTCCCATTTCTTATCCAGAGAAGAGAAATACAGTAATGGTGTGATGAAATCTAAAAGATTGTCTGAAGTACTTAAAGAGCATAACATTGAAAACCCTCAGGACTACAAGATCATGTTAAAGTACATAACTTAACATAGTCATTAAATAGCATAATATGATATGAATTTATATTTTTCGTAGCTTTGTACCTGTTTACGTGCCAATTATTGATCAGAAAACTAGCATTGTATTTGTATATGGCAGTTATAAATGTATTTGTGCCAGAAAATTTTTTTCATCGTTATGTTATAGTTTTTAAAGTATGTTAAATTACAGTCAGTATAGCGTGATAATTCATTATAATTGTACGTTTTGTATACTTGAAGTCCGAATATAGTACTGTCACTATAATACAATATATAGCGATACCTATCTGAATTACACTACATTTATGTTAATGTGATACAGGATATTGCTCAATTTAATGATTGCTTACTACTTCATATTACATTTAATATTTATAACTATTTCACATTCTTTTCTTCGTGTCCTCTTCTTTTCAAATAACTTTGCACAGTGTTATTGGTGAGAGTTTACCAATTGGATTACATAATTCTATGTTTAGACCGACCATTAGGGTACGTGTGTCAATGGTTAATTGGTTATGATGATTACTTTGTATAATATATTACCTAACCTTCCGTAGCCTTATTCATTTAATAGTTGAATGAATATAAATCTTTTGATAATTTGACGTCAGATCGAACCTTATAATTGCTGTAAAAATTATTTAAATCTAGTCAAGGAATCAACTATATTCTAAATTTTACAGATCTTTTAGCTAAAATTTATACAACAACCGTTTTACTCGTAAAGTCTGTGTACGACTTCTACACCTAATTAGTACAATGTTAGAATTATCTGTGCGCTGACTTTGCTATATAGTTTCATAATCGTCACCCTAAGACTTAGATTTTTTGATTGTATGTTTACTCTGTATAATTTTAGGATCAAGGTACTGACGAGCAACGTAAGAAATGGCTACCTCTAGCGAATGACTATAAAATCATCGGTACTTACGCACAGACTGAATTGGGCCACGGTAAAACCTAACATTATTATTATACATTACGCTAATCTTTTACCTCTAGAAGAGTATTTTACAAAGAATATTATTAATTTCATGTATTCGTTGGTTTAAATCTAGGTACCTTTATACGTGGCTTAGAGACGACATCGACTTACGATCCTAAAAGAGAAGAGTTTGTTTTAAATACGCCGACTTTAACAGCTACTAAATGGTGGCCTGGATGTCGTACGTATTTATTAATTAATTATAATATACGATATCGGATATTGTTTAATTTAGTATTAATACAAAATTATGTAAATCGATCAGTTGATATTTGATAAGTGATTCTATGTAGAGTATAATAAATTGCGATATACTATGTTAAGTTAAAATCATTGATTTCACATATCGAATTTATGGATTCCTTTAACAGTCGGGAAAACCTCTACTCATGCTGTCGTAATGGCCCAGTTATACATCAAAAATCAGTGTTATGGTCTTCATTCATTCATTGTTCAATTACGCAGCTTGAAAGATCATTCACCAATGCCTGGTGTAACAGTCGGAGATATCGGAAATAAAGTCGGCTTAGAAACTAACGACAATGGCTTTCTAGCAATGGATAACGTTAGAATTCCACGCGAAAATATGTTAATGAGACATGCCCAAGTAAGTACTAAGCGACTATATACTTATCTAGTACTAGACTTCGATGATCGAATACCTGCCATTGCGTAACCATACTGTATATTATCCTCTCATGTACATAATAGGTTTATCCAGACGGAACTTACAGGAAACCAGCCAATCCTAGATTAGCTTACGGTGCCATGGTGCTTGTTAGAGCGACTATCGTAGCTGGATCAGCTACAAATCTATCAAAAGCAGCGACTATTGCTATCCGATACAGTTGTGTACGACGACAAACGGAAGCCAAACCAGGGTGCTGTACTCTGTAACATATCGCTTTTGAGGAGAACGATAAAATTATACTAACTGTAAACACATTACTACCCATTTTTAGTGAACTAGAGCCGCAGATAATCGATTATGTAACTCAACAGCATAAACTAGTTCCACAACTCGCTACCGCGTATGCATTCGCTTGGATTGCTAGATACATGATGTCGACTTATCATGCTCTTCATGCTGATATTGAATCGGGCCATCTTGGCGCTTTGCAAGAGGTATAATAAATTATTATTTAAGAAAATACGACGATTTTCTTCTAATTAATAAAATATATAATTAATTGAAATCTACAGCTACATGGTATAAGTTCGGGCTTGAAAGCTTTCACTGCCGAGATGTCTGTATCTGGCATTGAGGTTATCTTTTCTCTTCTTTACGTTTGTTTTATTTTATTGCCTTTTCATAAATCGATATAGGCCTAACGAAAAATAATAATTATATAATCACCTAAATTTAGGTATGTCGTAGAGCTTGCGGAGGCCATGGCTTTTCAGCAGCTTCCGGCCTCGTATCGATTTATAAGGATTGGCTACCGTCGTGTACTTACGAGGGAGAGAATACTGTTTTATATCTACAGACTGCACGATTCTTACTAAAATGTTTCAGACAACCTAGTATTACTCCTTCAAGTATGTCGTATATTCTGATTAAACCTTTACCTGGCGCTCGATGGGGGGTTAAATCACCAGAAGATCTGATGAAGCCTATTTTACTTGTGGAAGCTTTTGAACATAGAGCTCAAAGGTATAACGATTATTCAATACTAGAACTACGTGTTCAGTTATTATAATGTCATATTTTGGGGAATTATAGAACAATCAAGAGCGCTGCTCAGTTCTTGGAAAGTCAAATCTCTCAAGGTTTAGACACATCGGAAGCTATGAATCGTTCAGGAATAGAGTTTGTTCGATGTGCAAAGGTTAGTTACCTACATCGACGATAAAATTACTACACGCATCGTAATTATACTATATGTTAAGTTAAGACAGAATATCGAATTTTCGAAACTATTATTTTTTGCAGGCGCACTGTTATTATTTTGTTACACGAAATTTCTTTCAATCGACTGCTCAATTAAAGTGTAGCAAGGAGATCAAAGAAAGTCTACTAACGCTTGGCGTTGTCTTCGCTTTGAATGGAATTGCAGATAATAGTGGAGAATTCTTAGAGGTATTCCGTTAGTAGTACGCATATTTTAAAAGATACGACTTCCTTACATAAAATTTAAATTTATTTATTTACGAAATAGGATTGCTTTGTTACCGGAACTCAAATGGAATTCGTTCGAGAACGAATCCAGTACTGTTATAAGCAATTACGGCCGAATTTAGTAGGCTTAGTAGACGCTTTCGCTTTTGCAGATCAATCGTTAAATTCTGCTCTAGGCGCGTACGATGGCGACGTTTACAATCGCTTATATAACTGGGCAAAGCGAGCTCCTCTAAACAAAACTGACGTAAGATTTTATTTGTTAATTTATTTATACTTGAACAATTTTAGAAAATTGTAGGCCTTATCAGATTAACGATATCTATAAATTTTTTATATCGTATATAGGTTCACTCAAGCTATCATAAATATTTAAGGTCTATTTTAAAAAGTAAAATTTAATTGGTATGTTGCATTTTTCAAGACGTCTATTGTAGAAAGGCTTGAATTTTATTTGTAACCTATAAGATTCACTAATCTAATTATATTATTGATGGTTAGCTCTTGCATATAAGATTCTTTTGCTCTTTTTAAATACATACACGTATATTGTTAAATAAAATTTGAAAACTTTCCAATTTCTGGCAGTTATGTCAGGTTTATTAACTTACACAAAATAGTACCTGATTGCACTTACTATACGCACGATACAGTCTATCATGTTATTAACTTAGAGGAGATTCAATTTATTATTGTACGAGTATATAAATCTGTATTCTTCACATATTGTATTGCCAAATAGTAGAAGAATTAATCAGACACTTTTTAAAGCATGAAATTGTTTTTGATATTTTCCCTGGGAAAGAATATCTGATGTTCAGACGAATTTGAAAGCGTTAATTAGTATAAACATAATATTTATTCAATTTAGACGTAAGAAACGTTTTACGGTATCTTTACCTGATATAAAATTAGAAATCATAGCCATCTTTTCCAATCGTTTTTGTTCGAAAACGACTACCAAATAATATCGCGGCTCGATACATGATATGTATATTTGATAGTAATCGTCAGTTACAGGCATCTAGTTTCGTGTTAGAAAGCGATAACAGTTCATCAAACAGAGATAGTAGATATAATAATTTTAGCAATCTTCTTACGTTACTCTTAAGTGGAAAGACAGTGTCCGAATTTGTTAACTTATCAGTATACTTTGACAGCATACTGAAAACATCACTCCAGTAGCTACATTTGGTAACCTAGAGTTATGCAATATCGTTGATAAGCAAATCGAAAACTTATGAAACGATACTTTATCATATAAACAAACTGATCGGATTGAGTTACGCATATGTATATTTATGCGTATATAATAAATCAGAAGTCATGAAATAGGCGTACATCGAGAGTCTCTGGGAAAGTTAAAATGATAGGAAACGATGGAATGCCATCTTCTGGTACGCGAAATCCAGAATTGGGATGGGAATATCCATGACCAAATTGACATTTTGTGCCTAGACTTACACTGTTGAATACAACAAATAGACATTCGGCATCGGATTTTTTCAAGAAATGTATACATCTATACAAAAAGACGAAAACATAACAGAATTATAAAAGCTGGATTATTTTCATTAACTGAGCATTAATACTACATATTGTACAAATAGGAAACCTACCTCCCAGCAAAATCACAGGTAGTTTCGGTAGATAAGGCTCTCATATCGTTGATTTCAGAATATTTACCCAGGGTTGAGTAAAAGTAAAAGGTAAACTGAAATTAAAAATAAATAGTTAAATAGATTTTCCATTGTACGTATATGAATATCATAAAGAACAATATATTTTATCAAAGCTTTATTAGATTAGTCGCTGAGCAATAAATTACTATTGAGTGTAAGTGTTTAACCTTGGAGAGTAATAGATGAAAATAGTCCATAAGCCACTGATACACACGAGCCAGTTTGCTATCATGTGTAGATTTAAACTGAAAGAAAGAAAATCTTGATTTTTTCTTATTTTCCTAAATTTAAGAGTAAATAGAAAACCAATGGTTTAACTTAGATAATAAATTGAGGCAATGGAAGTTAACTGTGATGTTTTAAAAATTTGATAGATAAGCAGTAAAAATGACGTCTACTTATACAGTACACAAGATTATTCGTTTCTTACATTGATATTTACTGCAGCCAATGTTTTAACGTCAGCTAGTGCTAATGAAGCGTGTTGTAACTGGACAACCGAGGAAAAAAATGCCCATTCGGCGATTTCGACGTGAGCAGAAAGTAGATGAGCTAGTGCTCTAACTTCAGCGCTATCGTAAGTAGTGATATGTATTAAGTGCTAATTACTGCATATTAGTAATGCAAAAAAGTCTACGTTGTGAATAGATATTGTGTACTTACAAGATATTAGTCCTTAATGATTTTAAAAATAAATGTTGTATGCTTTCATTATGTCTATAATAGAAATTTTAAATATACAGAGTAAAAATTAAAACCCCTTTGAGGATAGAAATTTGATCCACCAGTCGTAACAGTCAGTAGCTAATACTTTAAGCATTAACAATTATAATCTATTGATGATCATTGGTAGCAATTCTATGGACACTATATACTCGTTCGTAATACGCGTATAAAATTATTTCTCCATTACTAAAAGTTAGGATATATCGCTGGAATACCATATATTATAACTGCTATCAGAATAATTTATTGTACTTTGTTTAAAAAGGAAGAGATTGATAAGTAATGAGTATTTTAATACAGTATAGCTTGATATCGAATAACTGGGATGAGACTTTCAAATAAATTGAAAAGCATTGTACTCATTGCTGTATACTGGAAGTAAATAAGCTTAAGATGGAAGATTCAGGAATTATAATTACAATAACCTAATAATAAAACTGCGATATTGTAATTGTAGCATCTGTTGTAGATTATGTTGCTACAGTTTAATAATCGTGCTAAAAAGCTTACGCAGTATGATATATGTAATTGCTAGATACGAGTATTCCGATCAACTTACTGTTCTAAGAGGTTATTCAATAATTCTATCAGTAATGAGACGTGCAATGATTTCTCTGTAGCTTTCTCATGCAGTTGACGGTATCTTGTATCATTTTAGTCAAGGCGATGAATGTTTATAACAATAATATAATGCTTCATGAGAAATTAATCGTTGCGGCTAACTGACGTCTATTAGATTCGATCATCGATTAAACATTTTAAATGTACTCTTTAGTAACGTTGATAGTTTCAACCATTCTATCATTAATTTGAAATTCAATATATAGGATACAATTCTGTCATCGAATTTCTGATATCGGCAGCGCATATTAAATCATTACAAATATCCAACAATTGAATAACAGTATCGTTTGTCGATGCGTGCATATTTTGGGTGCGGATTAAACTTTTTATGTCAGTGCCTAAAACCATGTAATTCATCTGCATTTGCTAAATTATTAGTTACAATAAATAGTAAAGATTGTAAGTTAGTAATTCGTTATAAATTGACTTCTGTATCATAAGGTACATAAGCATTATAGTACAATATTATCCAAGTTATCACGAGATGAAACTGGTAATTTTGATAAACTAGTCTTTTGTTATAAAATTATATTGCCAGATAGATAAGTATAGTGGTTAACATAATAGCTTACTTCTTTTCTTACGCTGTATTTTAAGAAGTTAAGAGACACGTAATTTCTTTCAGCATTGATAAAATTAGTTAATAAGGACATTAATCGAGACCAGAATGGAAGATTCGATTGTTTGAATTCCTTCTCTTTTTCCTGTGTTAAAACATACGCGTAATAATTATTTTAAAGAATGAATGTTTTATGACGGTAGAGGTAGTTTTATTTGCCTTTGAAGATATGTAAAGGTGTTATGTATAATTATCTCGTCTAAGAGATGGAGATTAGAATTATTTGTATATACAAAGCCTGCTATATTAGTACCATGATCGCTTAGTTAGTACTCAGTATTGTGTAGTGTATCAGTGTTACTAGCTACTGTATTAGAAATGCCATATTATACATTATTATACATAAATAGCCAACTTTATCCTGCTTACAAAGTATCTTGTTTATGTCGTAAATTATAGGTCCATTTCTGTAAACAATTTTATTGATAGTGGGATTTTATACATTATTATAGAATGAATAGAATATATACTGTACTCTACAAGTCTACAGTATACAATTTAGTTGTATGGATTGATTTCATCATTATCAATTCAAATGAAGTCAGTAAATATTCTATTGGCCCTCGTAGCACTATACCATACTTACTACGATACGGTCGGCGAATTCGAGATCTAGTTGGCCGATTGCTTCGAAAATGGAGATTAATACTTTACTTTCATAACTTTGTTTCTCTATGGCGGAGAAAATCAGATGTATGCATTAGCAATCATTTACTAAACACCTTTCCAGATTGTAGAATAAATAATTTTTATGATCAGAAATGTTAACAAGATGAAGTTTATACTGTAAAGATCTATAAATGCACTCAACATACAGTACTATCGAATCCATCCTCACTAACATCTCGATTTAGCTGCTTCTACGTACTCAGTTCAATGTATAGATATTGAAGTTACAGTTCTTCTAATTACAACATTCCTATTATCAAATTATTGTCCTAAACAAAGCAATAGATGATTGCATCACCGCTAAATAGTACTAAGAACAGCATTGACTTATTCCATTCTAAACCTTCAGATGCAATAGTAGGTTACATTATGTATGTGTACCATAGTACAATTATGACAGCGAGCCGGTTTTAGCACTGGCTTACTTCTTGACTCAATCACTGTATAATGCCCCCCCCATTTTTTAACTATTCCTATCAATACCTTGGTGTAGGGTTGCTCCAGTCTTGATTTCTGCAGGCTCCATGGCTTGATAATTAATAATTATACTTAATATCTAAATAAGAACTGGTAATGAATTCATTACAAGTCAAAACAATCTTAATTTCTCAGCTACAAGGGCTCATAAAAACCATGCCATCCTATGTTAACTCTTCATCATCGTCACTAGGAAGCTCTTCTACTTGATATTTAGTACTATTGGCCAATAAGAGTGATTCAATGTGATTATTTGGACGATTTTACCTGAAATATCCTACTCAATTTCTCGAATCGCTTAGCTTACACACTACTACGCGTCCAAATGCCCCCAAGCTTCCAACTGGATTCCTAGTTCTGGTAGAGTTGACGACTGGCTTACTTAAACGCTGTCCAGTATCATACTGTGCTGTAGTATATATGACGTACTCATACAAATACTATACAAGGGTCCTGTAGCAATATTCCAACTGTACCGTACCGTAACGTTCTCATCCGTGCCAACGCAGTACCAACGATGGCGTCTCCTAGCAGCGATTTAGACAGAGAGAGAAGAAAATGTACTTTTAACGTTGCAGAATTAACCGATATCATTAATGGAGGACGTGAAAAAACCGAAAGACGCCAATATCTGGGTTAGTTTATGCATTATGTGTACATTGTAGAACTTTATAATGTGTATCCATTTGAAGTTTGGAGTGAATATACGCACTCCCATTTGGGCGGCTAGGCGTTCATCTACACTCTAAGCCCATTGTAAATACTTTTCCAACTGTTTAATGTAGTTTTGCATCTTGATACACCTATGGAGAGATCAAATAGCTTATTAGGCTTCGATGGTGATATTCTTGCTGTCATGCAGGCGTAGTGTGTTTATCACCAATTGTAGAAGCAAGGTTGTTAATTTTTCGTTTCTTTTTCAGTTCTATAGTGTACTGTACAATGTTGTTGTTTACATAGACGAAATTAATTTTTAATAGACAGTTGCAGATAGCGGTACATCTCTATTAAATTCATTGTTCATCAATTACAGCATAAACGTATTTTTACTATTTCGATGTATAAAAATTAGAATATCTATACTTTATATTGTCATAATCAAATTTAATGATGTTCTTGAAGCGCACATCTAATGAATGAATAAGGTGATCATCGTATCTCGATCGTATTGCACATCTCAGTGTTATTGGTGGGTCTATGATACCAACATTGATATTTAATTATCAATTTCAATTTATCATCCAATGAGTTTCCTATCTATTTACTGTGATTTTGTGTCGAGTTATACCTTTGGTGTTTAACTTATTTATTACAACATCACAAACAGATTCATACTAAAATACAAGACTGGATATTGACGCGTATAAATTGAATTACAGCATGTTCAACAGACTTTATATCGTCACACTGTTAGGATGCAGTAAAATAGATCATTATAACGACTGTATGAATCGTATTCATTAAATGGATTTAGGTAAATGATTACAGATGGATACGCGTATACTAGGAGCAAGGCCATTTTCACGGAATGCTTCCGATAATGAATCATTTCTTTGTAATTTGTAATCGTAGAAATAGCTTATCCTACTGTCGATTCACAATGGCGTATACCTGTTGCTCTCTTGTTAATAATGAATAGGTAGACAATTAAGTTTATGTATTTTTCTTCACAGAATCCCTCGTGCTGAATGAGCCTATCTTCAATTATGACGATTACTATTTCTTATCCAGAGAAGAGAAATACAGTGATGCTGTGAAGAAAACTGTCAGATTGGTTCAAGTACTTAAACAACATAACATTGAAGACCCTGAAGACTACCAAACTTTGCTAAAGTACGTACTTAACCTCGTCATTAAATAGTATATTATGACATGAATTTATATTTTTCGTAGCTTTTATACTTGTTTGTATGCCAATTGTTGATAAGGCTATTGGCATTCTATACGACAGTTGTAATTGTATTTGCGGCAATGTATTTTATTGATCATAATGTTGTAGTTTATAAAGCATGTTAGATTACAGTCAGTATAGGCTGTCATTCATATTATGGGTCTAAGTTATGCCAACTTAATGTTAATATGATGCAGAATATTGCTTAGTACTTCATATTAAATTTAATTTAATATTTATAACTAATTCATGTTCTTTTCTTCTGTTTTCTTTAAAATAACTTGCATCGCACAGTGTTATCAGTGAGAACCTGCCAATTGCATTGCACAATTCTATGTTTAGACCAACCATTAGGGTACGTGTGTCAACGGTTATCATGATTATTTAGTATATGATGCGTTACCTAAGGTTCGGTAGAGGTACACCTTTAGTTGAGTGAATATAAATCTCTTGTATAATTTGACACCTTATCGAACCTTATAATTATTATGAAATCATTAAAATCTAGTCAAGGAATCAACTATATTCTAAATTTTACAGATCTTTTAGCTAAAATTTATACAACAACCGTTTTACTCGTAAAGTCTGTGTACGACTTCTACACCTATTTAGTACAATGTTAGAATTATCTATACGCTAATTTCGTTATATAGCTTCATAAATCGTCATCCTAAGACTTAGATCTTTTGATCGTATGTTTACTCTGTATAATTTTAGGATCAAGGTACTGACGAGCAACGTAAGAAATGGCTACCTCTAGCGAATGACTATAAAATCATCGGTACTTACGCACAGACTGAATTGGGCCACGGTAAAACCTAAAATTATTATTATACATTACGCTAATCTTTTACCTCTAGAAGATTATTTTACAAAGAATATTATTAATTTCATCTATTCGTTGGTTTAAATCTAGGTACCTTTATACGTGGCTTAGAGACGACATCGACTTACGATCCTAAAAGAGAAGAGTTTGTTTTAAATACGCCGACTTTAACAGCTACTAAATGGTGGCCTGGATGTCGTACGTATTTATTAATTAATTATAATATACGATATCGGAAATTGTTTAATTTAGTATTAATACAAAATTATGTAAATCGATCAGTTGATATTTGATAACTGATTCTATGTAGAGTATAATAAACTGCGATATGCTATGTTAAGTTAAATCATTGATTTCACATATCGAATTTATGGATTCCTTTAACAGTCGGGAAAACCTCTACTCATGCTGTCGTAATGGCCCAGTTATACATCAAAAATCAGTGTTATGGTATTCATTCATTCATTATTCAATTACGCAGCTTGAAAGATCATTCACCAATGCCTGGCGTAACAGTCGGAGATATCGGAAATAAAGTCGGCTTAGAAACTAACGACAATGGCTTTCTAGCAATGGATAACGTTAGAATTCCACGCGAAAATATGTTAATGAGACATGCCCAAGTAAGTACTAAGCGATTATATACTTATCTAGTACTAAACTTCGATGATCGAATACCTGCCATTGCGTAACCATACTGTATATATCCTCTCATGTACATAATAGGTTTATCCAGACGGAACTTACAGGAAACCAGCCAATTCTAAATTAGTTTATGGTACGATGGTGCTTCTTAGAGCGACTGTTGTGTCCGAATCAGCTACGAATCTATCAAAAGCAGCGACTATTGCTATCCGATACAGTTGTGTACGACGACAAACGGAAGCCAAACCAGGGTACTGTACTCTGTAACATATCGCTTTTGAGGAGAACGATAAAATTATACTAACTGTAAACACATTACTACCCATTTTTAGTGAACTAGAGCCGCAGATAATCGATTATGTAACTCAACAGCATAAACTAGTTCCACAACTCGCTACCGCGTATGCATTCGCTTGGATTGCTAGATACATGATGTCGACTTATCATGCTCTTCATGCTGATATTGAATCGGGCCATCTTGGCGCTTTGCAAGAGGTATAATAAATTATTATTTAAGAAAATACGACGATTTTCTTCTAATTAATAAAATATATAATTAATTGAAATCTACAGCTACATGGTATAAGTTCGGGCTTGAAAGCTTTCACTGCCGAGATGTCTGTATCTGGCATTGAGGTTATCTTTTCTCTTCTTTACGTTTGTTTTATTTTATTGCCTTTTCATAAATCGATATAGGCCTAACGAAAAATAATAATTATATAATCACCTAAATTTAGGTATGTCGTAGAGCTTGCGGAGGCCATGGCTTTTCAGCAGCTTCCGGCCTCGTATCGATGTATAAGGATCGGCTACCGTCGTGTACTTACGAGGGAGAGAATACTGTTTTATATCTACAGACTGCACGATTCTTACTAAAATGTTTCAGACAACCTAGTATTACTCCTTCAAGTATGTCGTATATTCAAGTTAAACCTTTACCTGGCGCTCGATGGGGGGTTAAATCACCAGAAGATCTGATGAAGCCTATTTTACTTGTGGAAGCTTTTGAACATAGAGCTCAAAGGTATAACGATTATTCAATACTAGAACTACGTATTCAGTTATTATAATGTCATATTTTGGGGAATTATAGAACAATCAAGAGCGCTGCTCAGTTCTTGGAAAGTCAAATCTCTCAAGGTTTAGACACATCGGAAGCTATGAATCGTTCAGGAATAGAGTTTGTTCGATGTGCAAAGGTTAGTTACCTACATCGACGATAAAATTACTACACGCATCGTAATTATACTATATGTTAAGTTAAGACAGAATATCGAATTTTCGAAACTATTATTTTTTGCAGGCGCACTGTTATTATTTTGTTACACGAAATTTCTTTCAATCGACTGCCCTATTAAAGTGTAGCAAGGAGATCAAAGAAAGTCTACTAACGCTTGGCGTTGTCTTCGCTTTGAATGGAATTGCAGATAATAGTGGAGAATTCTTAGAGGTATTCCGTTATTAGTACGCATATTTTAAAAGATACGACTTCCTTACATAAAATTTAAATTTATTTATTTACGAAATAGGATTGCTTTATTACCGGAACTCAAATGGAATTCGTTCGAGAACGAATCCTTTACTGTTATAAGCAATTACGGCCGAATTTAGTAGGCTTAGTAGACGCTTTCGCTTTTGCAGATCAATCGTTAAATTCTGCTCTAGGCGCGTACGATGGCGACGTTTACAATCGCTTATATAACTGGGCAAAGCGAGCTCCTCTCAACAAAACTGACGTAAGATTTTATTTGTTAATTTATCTATACTTGAACAATTTTAGAAAATTGTAGGCCTTATCAGATTAACGATATCTATAAATTTTTTATATCGTATATAGGTTCACTCAAGCTATCATAAATATTTAAAGCCTATTTTAAAAAGTAAAATTTAATTGGTATGTTACTTTTTTAAGATATCTATTGCATGAAATCTTTATAGGTTAATTTTACATTACATGAACTTTATTTTAAACCTATAAGATTCACTAATCTAATTATATTATTGATGGCCAGCTCTTGCCTATGACTTTTTTACTCCTTTTAAAATACATATATGTATATCGTTAAATATGATAAAATTTGAAAACTCTTCAATTTCTGGCTATGCTTTGTCAGATTTATTAATCTATACAAAAACAATACCTGATTACAATTATTATACTTACATTACATTAACTTATTTTAAACCTATAAGAGTCACTAATTTAATTATATTATTAATGGCTAGGTCTTGCACATAAGCCTTTTACTCTTTTTACAGTCATGATAAGTACATGGTTAAATAAAATTTGAAAATTTCTGGTTACGCCATTGCGAATTTATTAATCTATTCAAAATAGTACCCGATTGCATTTATTATACGTACGATACAGTCAATTAATGTAATTAAGTTGAGAGATCCAATTTATTATTGCATGAGTATATAAATCTATATTCTTCACATATTGCCAAGTAGTTGAAGAATTGATAAGATACTTTTTTAAGCATGAAATTGTCTTTGATATTTTCCCTGTGAAAGAATATCTAATGTTCAGACGAATTTGAATGTATCAATAAGTATAAACTGACTAAACTGCTTTAAGAACGAAGAACTTAGATTAAATCTTTGAAATAAGCTTTAGCTAGAATTGAATATTCCAATTTGAAAACTTTTATTAACGATCACTTTGTGAGAATGATTTGGAAACAATTTTAGAATATTTTGTTCAGAATTTTAAGAATCTTACTTTTGATAGTGATAATATATGATGATACTTATCATAATAATTTTGCTTTAGTTTCACTATAATTAATAGTCTATATTCCAGGAGTCAGCTGTAATTGATCACTAAACAAACATAGGGATAGCTATTATCTGATTAGGTTATGACAAACTCAATTGGTCGATTTTTATCACTAGACTTAGACACAAAACAATCGTTTATAAAATTTGCCTAGTAGATTGCTAGATGTTAGGTGCTAGGATAATATTTTCCTCTAATACTGGAATAAAAATATAGTCGATAGCATCATAAATGTACGACGATGGAACATTTTCAGTAGAATTCAATCTTTATAATTTGCTTAATGTAAGCATCATTCGTATCGATCATCTACTTAAATATTATTTGTATTTTTCAGTCTCAGTCAATAAAATAGCTACAGGCATCCATTTTAACACTGTTTAAGAGCTGACATTGGTTGTCTTTGCAATCTTCTAGTTCTTAACTACAACAAGGAATCAAACCTTTTGTGGTAAAAAGGATTAGGTTCTAGCTTACATGTTGGACATGGAAACTCTCTTGTAAAGAATGGTTCATACCAAAAATTAACAGCTAAATTTCTTTTTTCCTTTTTATCTGGAAAAGATTGAACTTCATGCCACCAGAATGCAGGCATAAATAGTGCATCGCCGGGCGAAATCTCACAGACATAGGGAACTGCTTTAGTAAATTTAGGGAACCTTTGAAGATTTGGCTTTAGAATATCGACGGGAGACATTACCATTGAAGTTGATTCTAATAAGTTTTGACGATAAAATTTTTTTTTATCCCAATCATATTCTAACATAGCTTCAGGAATATGTCCTTCGTATAGTCGTGTATTATCGTGTGGATCGAAAAGTGTTAGACGTTTCTTTCCACTCAGCTAAAGAAAATAAAAATAGAGATATACTTTAATATCGATAAATTAAAAATCGTGAATACTATTGCAGTTGAAGCACCTATAAATTATGATTTTGAACAAGAAAGAGTCGTAAAAACCAATACGTATATTTTAACAGTAATGAAAGTGCAGTATCATAGTTATTGATACTATGTAAAAGGTTCCATAAGAAAAAAATGACTTAGATGAACTGGATCACTTGCATTAATGGTGAAATTGTGAACATTTTAATGCTACAGCATTTATCTAGTAAAGTAGAGGGTAAAATCTACTTAGTTTACTACGATAATATTGTCCATTAGTGTAAGAATAACTCTTTGTAGCTATTTTATTAAATAGATGATTAATAATTGTATCGGTAATACTATAGAATTGATTAACGATATTTACCTGACACAGGAAATTATCGTACGGATCAAAGTGCAATTTTCCTAGAGTGTGACCATCACTTAGCCAAATATTGAGGTGTTTTAGTTGAAGGAAATCTTTAACAAAGGATATTTCTTGTACATCTTGCACAAGCTGTGGCATATAGTCTTTGATCGAGGTATATTCAAGATAAGCTGAAAATTGATGTGTACTATTTTCACCAGTGACAAATTTTAAAAATTCAGGAAAAGGAAGTTCAGCTGTAGCTGGGCGAACTACAACTAGATCATCAAATTGTAATTGCTGACGGACTGCTTCTGGTATCTTGAAATTTGCTCGTTTACTTTTCCAATTGGCAACCGATTCGCAACCTTCAAATTCTCCCTTTTCTGTTAGCTTGATATGAATTCTTTTGTTACCGATTTTACTTTTAAAATAGTCATTACTCCACTTAGTTATGGCTGGCCAATGTTTAATTGCACCCTTTATAATCACTGGCTGAGATTTAAGTAAGAAAGAATGTATAAATTCTGACGCTGTTGTTGTATTGTCGATTACTTTACATTTTCGATAGGAAGTTTTTGTCTTATTAGCTGTCTGACTGTGCAATGGATGATGTGATTGTATGATTTGATCAGAAAAGGTAGCGTTATGATGATTGGGAGAATAAAGATTTTCTAATAGCCATTTTCTTTTCATTCCGATAGAGTTAAGATTACCATTCGGACTTCGGAAAACCTGGCATTTTGTATTTATTAAATCGACCAAGGAGTGAATTTCTTCCTGACCATTATAATATTCACCTATTGGTAGGTGATTTACACTCATAAGACATGTTCTATCTATCTTACGCTTGGGGAAAATCGTTATCGACGTGGTATTCGATAAGTTGTTTACCTTTTCATTCATTCTATATTTTACGGTATCGCCATTAGACCACTTGAGTATAGCTTGATCGAATCTTGCAATAAGAACTACTTTATCCTGAGCATATATTTGAATTAATTGGTTGAAACGTTGAACAACAGACGGTATAGGTTGATGATTAGCCATGATGGCACATCCATCATTTAAATGTTTCTCAATTTGCATCATCGACATTGCTGGTAGATTGTTTGCAGATGCATTACAAAGCGAGAATAATATTAAAATGAAGACACAGTATGTGGATAAATCCATTACAAGGCTGCAACGCGTTGATAAATGCATCTTCATTGACTATAATACAAGTCTATGATGTAATCTATAAAATAAGGGAGTGATTTTTTTAATTTTGATTCATCATCCGTTTAGCTGGAGATGATAAAAGGAAAAACTCCTAACTTAGTTACTGTTCTACTCATTGCATTGCAGAATTGAGGAGACCCACCAAGTGAGTAAACTTTTAAAGTATTTGCCCCCAACAGCTGCTGGTCTCCGTAGTTTACGCTTACGATCGGCTCAGCCAATAGGGATAACGTTGATACTCCAGCTATAGACTACCGATTGGACTTCCTATAGTAATTCATGCTTTACTCCTTACTTAAGCCCTCACGGTTGCCAATAGTGATTCTATACTGCACTAGGACAGTACTAGAAATTCTAGTCATCCATGCTTATTAAGCTATGGACTACAAGAGAGAAGAGAGAAGAATCCTCTTTCATTTTTTTGCTGGCAGTCCCTTAATATATGGACAGGCTTTTAACCTCTAAGCTTTCTTGCTTAAGCCATCACGCTTGCCCATAGTAATTCTCTACCTGCACTGTACGGTATGGCAAAGTGTACTATAGTCTGTACCGTCCGAGCACAAAGGCGACTGTCCTAACTATCCTAAATTCGATCTTATCCGTCTGTAAGCTCTGGAAGGAAAACAAATCAGGAAATCATGTTGCTTCCATATCAAACCATCTGTAACCGATCGTTATCCTTGCTACCTGGAATCAGGCGTAGCGTTGCTTGTAATTATAACCTGATATTCAAGAATAAGGTATACTTTCTTGCGTTAATGGTCAAATTGGGGATAATGATTAGATAAACATATGCATAATAGCTTGGGTTACCAGTAGAACTTCGCAAAGAAACTGTAGATGACGACGATAAAAATGATTGCATCCCTGTGCTGTCTGCAATGCCTAGTGTGTATAGCAATGGACTACTAGAAATATGACTTTCTACTGTACATTATTAGCAAGTGATTGGAAATCATCATAGCATTACGTTTGCTCCTTCTAAATGCTACACATCGATGCAATATTTTGGCATACAGCAATGCTTAATGCTTAAACAGAGGTATGCATACCGTCGCGAATAATCATTCAAATATGCGTATCGTTAGTCTAATACACTAAGTCCGAACCGTAGCGTAATGTCATGTCTGATAATTAATTATAAATTAGAATAGAGAAGTTCTAAGTTCTAATAACCATACATTGCAAATTATCAAAATGCTTGTCGGTGTCGTGTCTAGCAATTGAGTAAACTTCAATATCTGTATAGTACGACGCTGCTAAGTTACAAAACGATCCGTTACTATTACAGCTAGAATCTTATAAAAAGGAAAGTCTTAAGACCTCTTCGCCATTGCTTCACACGATCATTCAATGATTCTGCTAATGTATGTACAGTACAACCTTCAATAAAGTCAATGAACTAGTAGCAAAGCGCGAGCTGCATTTTATGAAAAGTATCACTAGTCAACTTCAGGATCCACCACACATACAGTAGACTGTCTTAGTAGAACGTTGTGGAAAGAGCTCAGAGGATAATGTATACGCGTAGAACTTATATCGTATGCTATTTACGATGTATACTAGTAGTATTAACAGCCGTAGACCGCTACAAATTCGCATGCCTACCTTTCTACAATATTACATTACTAGCGAGTGATTTGCGATCATTATGATATCATTTTTCTAAATGCTACATACTGGTGTCAATACGCGTAGCCATTGGACTACAAGCACTACAAATGTGCTTTGCACAGCACAGCGAATGATTTGCAATCATGACGATATTGTTTTTTCTTTTCCGAAGGCTATATATTGATGCACAGTGATCTACTATTTAGTTAATTTAGAAATGATAGTGTAATGACCAGGAATATTTGTTGCTTTCAAAAGTTAATTAAGCAGTTACGATAGACATTTTGAAGTTTCTGTTTGATGCCTGGTATCTAACTCCTATTTTCATACATTGCTAAGATGTCGGATAGTGCCAAACAGGAGTTGACACTAGTTACGGAAAAGAATGGGATTAGAAGGATCCAGCTAAATAATCCTAAAAAGCAGTTAAGTAAAATTATTTTTTATTATTACTGATTTAAGTAGCTGCTCATGACATCAGATTGCCCTTAGTCATAAAATTAACATGGCTATCTTATGCTTCCTTATTCAATCAACTAGTCATGCGTTATCGTTGGACCTTCTGAAATCGTTGAAAAGTGCTATCGAAAAAGAATCTGATGGCAAACCGCCACGTGTTATTGTTATTTGCTCATCTGGAAAAGTATTCTCTGCTGGACACGACTTGAGGGAACTAGTAAGTGCAGTATAATAGTTGTACGCTTATTTGTATGAGGATTATTTTGGTACATTTATCAATAGGTAGCTACCTTCATAAATAATAAATCTGATAAATGGTAATAAAATTGTCGCAAATACGGTAACAATATTCTTGGAGGATATAATATTATTGACAACAGGAATATATTTGCGTATTTATTTATGCCTAAATTACAGTACAGTACAGAGTATGATAAGCGTGTAAAATAGTTACTTTATAATTTCATTGCAACAGACTGATGCAACGGGACATGACTATCATAAAGACATCTTTGATGCTTGTACGAAGGTGATGCAATTAATTCAGGTTAGTATTTGAAATGAAAGCCTTGATGACACCACTTTGCTGCTAAGTTGCAGCAATGTAGCATTGAATACATAGATGATACTAGTAATACTGTCCATATACTAGAGCTAATCGCACGTATATTAACCGCTTTTCCAATTGTACTTTTCACGTAATCTGAGACATGATAATTTTAATTTACAGGATACCGAAGTCCCTGTCATCGCTGAAGTCAACGGTAATAATAAGTGATTCACGATAATGATTTTGATTGTATATTATTAGTGGTATTTTCAAAGGCTAATAATTATAATTTAATTTAATGTACAAATAATTAATTTTTTAAAGGTTTAGCAACGGCTGCGGGATGCCAACTTGTAGCTAGTTGTGATGTAGTTATTGCATCAGAATCGTCAAGATTTGCAACTCCAGGGTACATAAAGTATAGATAATAATCAACTGCATCACGTTGGAAGTAACGGTAACATTATATACTATACACGTATGCCATCGCAGATTCTAGTTTTAGAGGACAAAGATAATCCAATATCCAATTAGTCTACAGAAGGGTATTGAATTCATGTCCACACCAGTAATCATTAGTTCTTCACACCATTGCATTCTACAGATGATAATTTTTTATATCATTGAAATTAATAAATAGAATGATTATTATCCTTCAGTACAGCATTGGTTATTAGTAATTTACTGTTATCTCATCTCATTTAGCACGTACTGTACACCCCTTTGGTCACATATTAGTAGCTAAATCACTTTTATTGATGCCCTAATATAGCGTGAACGTTGGCCTCTTCTGCTCGACCCCAGCAGTGGCATTAGCTAGGGCAGTCCCTAGAAAACTTGCTATGCAAATGTTGCTTACGGGAGAAGCTATTACAGCGCAAGGTGGCTAGTTCTTTAATGAATAAATCACTGATATTTTTATATCTTAGCTGTATATTCTACTTCAGTCATAAGAGCGTTTCCAGTAATACTTCTTTACATACAGAGGCGTTAAAGCACGGCCTAGTCAGCAAAGTGGTACCTCATGAGGAACTAGAAACTGAAGTAAGATTGAATTTCGATAAAAAATGTTCATGTCCAATCATTAATTGCTTTCAGTAATCGTAATTTTTTCATTAGTTCATTATATGCAGTAAGGACTAAACAGATTTCTCATATATGCGTAAAATAGACTACCAGGATTGCAGAAAAAATTAGCTCTTCTAGTCGCTCAGTAATGGCATTAGGTAAAGCTTGTTTTTATAAGCAAATACAGAAAAGTCGTGATGAAGCTTACAGGTATAAAGAAAACACGATGTATTAGCGATTTTAGATTATTGAGATCTGTTTTACTTGATCTCATTTTCCTTGATAGCTTTTAACTGCAACTATGAATAGCTTTTTTCTAATCCTGTATTATACTTTATATACAGTTACGCTTCGGATGCTATGCTGCGAAATTTAAATTATGATGACTGTCAGGAAGGCATCAATGCTTTTGTAGATAAACGCCAGCCAGTTTGGAAGGATTAAAAATGCCTACCAACAATAGAGATTGTAGGATAAGAGATGGCATAATGTATAATTATCTTACATATCTAAATCATACATATTTGTAGTGATTTAAGACAATAATCTGATTTTAGCAAAAAAATTTAAAAACAGCTTTAATTGATTTGATGTGAATTCAGTGAACGATAGTCGTCTATTATGTTATCTTTACTAGAACGATATAAACAGAATACCCTTTACCGATTTCAAGTAACGAAGCTATGATCTATAATGAAATGAACGAAATTAAATTGCTATGCTGACCGTATATAGTTTAACAATTTCATATACAAGATATATACAAGAACGATATAAACAGAATACCCTTTACCGATTTCAAGTAACGAGGCTATGATCTATAATGAAATGAGCGAAATTAAATTGCTATGTTGACCGTATATAGTTTAACAATTTCATATATAAATAAAAGTGTTATTCGCGTGTCATTTAGGTAGAATTGATGGCTTTAATTAATAATTTTTAATAAGAAGCAGGGACAGATAATTACTATCATTTTACTGTAAGATAATTTTCTACAATAGAACGATGTTCTTCAATTTACCTGTACGTACGTATAGTGAAATATAGGAGATAAAAATATAAAAGTTATTGTGTTATAGCATGAACAGTGTTGTCATCTGAATTTAGAGTAGATATTGTAACTTGTAATGGTCAGCTTTACTGTTTGCTACTTGTAGTCAATAAGATTTGAAAATTTAGTTTCATTTGCTACGTATCTTTGCGTTGCTGATAATTATTTAATATCAACTTTAGCACTACACGTATACTGTAGTATTATCATCAAGGATATAAGAATAAGTGCATTGAGTCTAACCAGCATTACTATAGCATTTTCTTGCTACTAACAGTATTTAGAAAAGTACTATCATTTTCTAAATGCTGTATTAGTTATTGTGTTTGAAAGACTGAGTATTGAAAAAATCTTATATACTTGTATGCAGCAGTGGAAAGGGCTTTAGCTCTATACCAAATTATCTTCTAATACGAATTTCTAATGTGCCACTCAATACCAACATACAAATACTGGTATCCTATCTATTATGTATTACTATCTAGAGTGAATACTAGCAACCATATTGAAGGTTCTTACTTCTCTCAATTGGTAATAGTAAGTTTATAACCTACTAAATTTAGGTAATATCGAATTAGCGCAAACATACAATGGCAATCTTAAATATATATAATACTAACACAGTATGTAGTATTGCATCGTATTAATGCACAAGCTAACCAATATAGAATAGTAGACGAGTACAGTACTATCTACTAAGCATCTAATACTGATTGCCCGGCGAAATCTGGTATAAATTGTACCCAATGCTACCCCACATTCTGAGGGCTTGTTTGTAATTATCGTAAGCAGCCACTCCATCATTATCTAGATTGATGGTTGTAGTTCAACTAACTGCACTATAGGTTGTAGTATAGAGTACGATAATAAATGCATAACATTTATGTACTGTATAACAACGGCATATGAGTATTGTACAGAGTTGATAGGTCTTTCAAATTTGAAGTAATTCAGATGTGATTTCTATGAGTACAGTATGTCCTCAGCATCATACTGGATAGTTAATTTTGAAACATTTACGGAATGTAAAATACGTTATTTTACATTGATTGCAACACCTAAACTTGAATAAATAAAACTGAAATGGGTCGATCTATTGTTGATTTGCTTTCAAATTAAAGCTATCTTGCATATGTTAGCTCGGCTATTTTGAAGGCAATGGGAGGTACCGCATCATTACTCGATGGCATGATCCATCGTTCATCAGCTTGAGACGATGATTTATCTAATGAGTAGGTTATCAGTTAGCTGGTAATCGGGTACTCATTGACTGTCATTCAATTTCAATTTAATTTTGTCTTTTGCCTAGAGATTGTCATTCAATCATCATAATCCGGTGACAAATAGTCGCTAATTCTATTATTGATACGGCATTCGCGTTTTGATTCTGTTGGCATCGTTTCAACCTACTAGTATTTCACTGTACAATACTTGAGATATTAATTTCGAGGCTGCAAGGATGTGCTCTATATTTGATATTTTTAATTGAAAGCTCAATGCGTAAATGATTGCACATGAATATAACGGTAGATTTATCGATCGATACGATCCTATGATAGTATTTAATACGGCTCAAGTACTTGACCAGATCGATGAAAATAATTACAGGACAATCATTTCTTGTTGTGGCTTTATCCGATTCGATTGGTTTGTAGGTATATTATGTGCAATGTAAACGCTCGCTGTCGATACTGCGTACGTTTGTATGCTGTCTCAAGGACTAGCCAAAGAAATGATCGTCCCTATTCAATGGTTAGGTATCGTTCATCCTTTTTGAACAGACGCGTACTCGTATAGAAACTTGACCAGCGATGAATGAATGATATGCGATATCATTATATCATCTCCCTAATTGTATCCATCGAGACAAGAAATTGATCTAATTCTGATCGAATTCTGATGATGACTCATGGCCAATGAATAATTTGAAGAATGAATAATTTCTCCTGCGTCATACTTATCCCTATTTATTTGGATGGAAGTTGAAGTAATTTAATTAGCGACAATTACGTCACAGATTTGGAGAAATTCGATTCGACAAGGCAGTATGTACACTGTACAGCAGCGTTATTGATAATATAATGTTTAATAGACCAAGAAATGACGTTGACTTCAATCTGTATGGGAAGACCCGTAGGGAAATTCCTCCATGCATTACAAGCACGATCACTACCAACTAGGCCTGGAGGAACTTTGTATGACTGCATGCCGTCAGGAATATTTGTGATAGCGTAGTACTGTGTGCTATTACGCTCATAACCAATATCGAATGTGATTGGATCATTGTACGCTATAAAATAGTGGAACATTTATTGATTGCGCCGACAAAAAATGCATTTTTAGGATTACTTCCTGTTCAAATGCCGTGATAACCTCAAAGACTTTATCTTAAACTGGACCTTGGCTGTACACTTTATAGTCCAAAACTACTCAATTTTGCCATCTTGACCAACAGGCAGGCCATTTGGACTAATGTCATTCACTGGCACATAGTCCATTTTTTTTTATTTCTTCTTGACTGCGACTGTCACGCCGTGTGACAGTAGGAAATGTATGAAAAGTGAGTCATTGCAGTAACAATACCAATGTGATACAGTACTATACACGTCATTACCAATGTCGATGTGATTTGATGATATGGTATGGGCGTACCGCGCGTCGTTACGCCGTACTGTACTACGACCCCTCAGCCTTAGCGTGCGTCTGTAAACAATGACCAAAACTAGCCAACTTGTACACGGTAATTGTAGCAATTTTAGTAGTCTACTGGACACAGTAGGGCCAGTAGTGGCAAGAAATAGCAGACACCTTTAAGATCGATTTTCATGCATTTGCCTCCATAGTTGGAGTCAAATGGACGCAAAAAGGTTCTGCAAGTGGTTGGGTCTACAATCTACAGTGGATTATCTTGTCGACCGTGAGAAAAATTTGCAGCGATCGCTGCAAATTGTACATTGTCGAAAACGGGATTGATTGATCGGTCCTGTAGTGGACAGAGTTGGGCCAGGCTCGACTAGTGTACACAAATCATTGTTGCTGTACTGTACTCGACAACAGGCATAGTAGGCCCTTTGTATTGGAGGACGATCGTGGGTTAAGATAACGTGATAACAAAGGAAAATCTTGACTCTTTCTATTTTAGTCACATTGAGTCATTGCATTACAACAATACCGTATGATACTGTCTTGTAGTAGTGGTGTACAAGGGACGAGTCGGTATCAATACAATCCAGTACAAGAATGGATTATGACGTCGACGGAAATGAGCCAACCGAGACAAAGGTCGTAACGATGAGTACAATACAATCCAGTACAATAGTGGATTATTACGTCGACGGAAATGAAGTCACGTCAAACGCTCTCCCACGGTCAAACACACTACGAGTTGTAGCGTTGTGGCCGAGTGACCCAACGCGGACGCCTTCACTTGCTTGACTCTAGTTGCGCTTCGTCGACGCGTTGATGGTCTATCCCAAAGAAAATGTCGCCGTATTAATTTGCTTCTTTGGCCTACATTTGTCAATTTAGACTACACGTAGACATATTTGCAATTCAATTAAAACGACGACTTGATTCTACCACAGTTGGATTAATAGCACCGTCAGCCAAAATTCTTGAAAAACTTGTCGACAGCATTGAATTTCAATGAGAGTTTTCTTTTTTAGCGTCAGCAAAATCGTCAAGTCAAGCCACCATGTCCATTTCACAGTGAACATTTTTTCCAACCTTCAGTGAAAAATTGGCCAACGCTTAGTGAAACCCCCCCCCCCAAAAAAAAAAAATTCAATTTCCTCCATTGGCCTGTGGAATACATTGACTCTTTCCAGTGGTTGTGGCCTTGATTTGAATGATCGATTGCTGGCTGCAAGAGACGGTAGAATACCAACCAGACAAATTGTATTATTATCACTGGAGGGGATTATTATTCCAACATTCAATCAGGAAAGGAAATCTTCATTCCAAATACACTATCCAAATATGGATACTAGCTTGCATTGCACAAAGTAAAATATTGCAGACAATTCATTGCAACTCCAATTAGTCTCCTCTATCCTATTGGGCAAGCTAAAGAGAAAAAAAAAAATTCAATTGAAATCGAACGATTATAGCAGTGTTGGAGCTTGATTCAATATCATTTCTTCAAGTAGTCTCGACATAGGCGCATCTCTTCGTTCGAGATTAGGTGAAATTACTTTTTCTCCCTCTCACAGTTGACTTTAGCTACCCTATTTCACGACTTCAAATCACCTTGATACCAAAAGTGGAGAGTTTCCAGTTGCAAATTGACGACTGTACGCTCTTGTAGACGACAACAACTTTACTACCATTCAAGATTACATCACTTTTTTTTTCTCCTACTATTTTCGGTTCCATCCCCATTGGATTATACTTGACGTTATTCAGACTGGAAATTCAACATTACGCTTGTAACTTTCTTCATCGTGGATACAGTGTAGTGGTGGTGGTAGACTCAAGATAAGGCGAAATTAAAGATTGTAACATCTTCTCTTGCACCATTAACTATAGCTATTATTACATATTAAGAATTGAAAAAAATACTGTGTATACGTGTATAGATTTAAAATCTTATTCTACTTACTCATACTTCGTGGAACACGATCGGAGTCATTACCGTGCTATACTGTAGTACATTCAGTCGATATATATATATACAACAACATAACCTTTCATCGCAACTTCGACCATACAATCTCTACACTTAAACTCTTACCTGAATGCGAATAGATTTACAAACTGATGGAAAAGATCATCGATGTATATATATATATATATACAGTATAAATAAAGACTGAGTTAGTACAACGTTGATCCAAATTCAATTTATTGCCGGACAATAATAATAGTAATAAAAAACATCATCTTCAGCCGCGACAGTACAGGACAGTAAAACAATTGGGATTAAACCATTTCCATTACTAGCTTAGAGTTTGGATTGGATTCTTCTCTATATTTTTGCCGGTTAGTCTAATCATCCTTGATATTGCATATTTTAGACATCGATATTGTATCCAAGTTATTGAATAGGGTTTATCTTGGATCTTATTTTTTTATCCTGAATAAGATCGAAATACTTGATAATTTTTGATGAAATTAAATTGCAGTCCTTTCTACAGTATAGTAAAAATTAAGTCAAGAGAAAGTAACAATTTTTTTTCATTTTCTCTTCATATCATACAATCCATACAATGTATGGTTGTGATATTGAAATGTTATAGCGCGGTACAAGTAATTAAATCTCCATAATTATTAACCTACTAAAACATATTCTTTCTAGATGTACTAATTTAAATTATCTTTCATATTACGGTATTTTATAATAGGGCCGAAATTTTCCTTGATTGCGTCAGGAAATCAGTTCATTCGCTTTGCTTTTATTGGATCAGCTTCTCCATCGTCAACACCCACAATCCATCAAATTAACTATTTCATCTAGCTACAATAACGTAACTTTAGTGCCTTATTAAAACAATATATAGAATAGCCATTTTTCTTCAAGCAATATCCTCTGTTGTATTGTTTTTGTCTTCAAAATTTTTATTATACAATATTTTAATTTTATCAATCTTATAAATAGTAAGTGTAAAGTCTGACGGCTATCATTTGACGCTCGACGCTCATCAAACAGCCCACTTCAACCATCCTGTTTGTTAGCAATCCCATTTAATCATTTTAAAATATTCAGCATTTGTTTCATATTTAACAAACAAGATATCGAGATTACTGTAAATATCTACATAGATAGGCTTTATCAAGAAAGAGATTAAAAAAAATATATGTTATTAATACAGTATAAAATATTAAGACGTGTATTATGGACGAAAATCAAACTTATGGAGTTGCCGATATGACGGACAATATTTTCAAGGTTGGTCAATACTTACTCTTTCCAAATCGTTCAAACTCTCGTCATAATGGCGGCGATACTGATACTTCTATTCGTGCTATCGATGCCCATCTTGGTGTGGAATATAATTGTAAAATATTATCGATTGAACAATTTCATCAGTACATGATACTCCTTGATCAGTTACCTGCTCATCCGAGTATCAATCGCATTGTACAAGTTGTACTTGGTAGAAGATACGCTTATCTCTTTTATGATCGCCATTGCGACGATCTTTATTCCTATATTCGCAAAAATGGTTGTATTAACGAAGAGGATTGCCTTTCTATCTTTCGTCAAATTGTTCAAGTTGTTGCTCATTGCCATAAACATGGCATTATATTGAACGATTTAAAGCTACGAAAATTCCTTTTTATGGATACTAATAGGTATTTACAATGTGACGCATACTGTAAATGGTTAGCAACTAACTTTTTGAACACGACTGCAAGTATAATCACGACTAAATTAAATGAACTAAAAAATAACAATGCAGTATACTGTATACTAAGCGTACAGACCATTAGATTAAGACACATACACTTGCTCTGTAATACCATTATTCATCTCTTTTACTGGTACACATCACATTGGTACAGTAATCATGATTTCGAATACAAGATTCCAAACAGTAATGATAATCAAAACGCCAGATTGCCCCTTATATAATTTGACATGAGATAGTAGTGTATTTAGACCAGTAGACATACGTATAACATACTGTAGCTACCTAATCAATGCTATTTTATAACAATTTGTTTCATGTAGGACTTTATTAGTTCAGTTATTTGAAAATTTTTATAGAATAATAATTCAAATTTTATGGAGAGTTAGCTGAATGGATCAAAGATGACTGTCGGTGATATTTACTTTAATGTCCGTATGTCGTAGTTATTGTGATTATCATCGGGTGTGAATCCAATGGCTCTATCTTTATGTTATATCTCTGAATTTGTACAGTACATATTTTCTCATTGATTGTCCGAAGGATGTATCCATTATGGTGATCAATTTAAAAATTTATACTATACCTTCAGTGTGCCAATGTAATTGTAAAGTCTTCGTGAATTGGAACAGCTACGTGCAATAATTAATTCTTGTATTAATTTCGTTCTGCTTTGTAATAGCTTGAGTACACAATTTTTTCCCGTAATAATTTATACTTCTATACATACATTTAATTTCAAGTATGAATGATAAAATCGATGTATATACGTTCAATCATTTAATCCGTACGACTTAACTCGTATTGTAGATAATCACATAATTAACAATAATATTGTGTAATTAAGTATATATTGAACACTTCCGTTAATCTTTCTTAACATAGGGATACTATCGTCATCGATGGTTTAGAAGATGGTTGTATACTTGTTGACCCAAACGATAAGCCATCAATCAAACATCGATGCCCAGCTTATGTCGCACCGGAAATGCTGCAACCTGGAGGCTATTATTCTAGTAAAAGTGCTGATATTTGGAGTTTAGGCGTCATGTTTTACACAATGGTTGTTGGTAAATATCCCTTCCAAGATACCGATCCGAATAAGCTATTTGAAAAAATTCGTAACTGCACTTATGATTTACCAGATACTATCTCCGCGAAATCGAAATGTTTGATTAAAGCTTTGCTACGGCTCCAGCCTGAGCAACGATTAACAGCAGAAGCTATCTTACAACATCCATGGTTGTATGCTAAGAGCTTTACATTTTACACACCCATAAATCTCATTGACAGGAAAGGATCTGATCAAACAGTTCCTGATTCATTAATGAGTGACGATGATAATACTTTGTATCATCCATAGATTTTGTCGTGCCTGTAACTAAATAGTTAGAACTCTCTAGGATGTTGCAAACACGATCTATACGGTTATTCTAATTTTTTCCTCGAAGTTCCATGCTTGCTATTTTTCATAGTCATATAGCTGTTGCAGATTATATTATATATAGAAATCTTGATTAATTTTTGCAATTTCTTATATTGTAGTTCACATATCAGATTCGACTTCTCTTTCAAAAAATCTGTAGACAAGTCTTACAGTTTTGATACTAATTTATAGTTTTTTGGATAATATCAAAAACATTAACAAATGTGTATTTTACTTGTATACTGTATTCAGTATTGAGCTTTGCATCTTTATTACTTGATTCAAGAGTCATTAAATAGATGACAACATCTACATTCTTAAATGATAACTCATATTCTCAATAGATGTATATATAGAGAGAGAGTGCTGATTGAATTTTCCTACGTATAAGATGTATAAGTTGCTTATTTGTCCACTTAGTACAGTATCGTTTATTGGATAGAATTTGATTTATACTCCGTTTAGGATAATCTGAGTTGGCAGCTGTGATGTAACAGTAGTATGTGATGGTATTTTTCATTCGTGTTTTGATATATTATCTTATATGCTACACGGGAGATTTACTATCATACATCCAAAATATAGTATGATAGCATTATCCTCTTTCAATTATGGATAAGCGTACTTTTTTTTATTTTCACTTTTGTTAACTTTGCTTATTTAATGTCTGCAGCTACTACATGTAAAATTGTAAAAATTGTACTTGATACGATTTTTAGTAAGAGATAAATCAAGAATGACGCGTGCTAAATATCTGCTCTAAAGAAATAAAAATTTGACAATGTAGTATTGCATATACAAGTAAATATAGCGTGCCTTATCATTAATTGATTAGATAATGAAGCTGAAGTGTTAAACAGATTTCTTTACTGTACTGTACTATGGCATAACTGTATCCAAATACTTTTAAAATGTTACCGATCATTGCCGAGTCAAATACTGGTGCTCCTTTATAAGTAGCTTATCGTATAACGCAAAAAATGTATTCTAGATTATGTATGCCACACTCAAGAGTATATTTCTAGTTTTAATTATACTCTTACTGCAAATCCAATAGTCGGATACTAATTTGCAGGTACAAGGTAAAAGTTAGGAGCAACCACCAGTAATTCAAGGCCTACAATTTATTGCCGTACAAATTTTAAGCATGCTCTCAATCAGGGAATTTCATATATTAGATAACAGATAGGTCAAAAAACAATTTCAAAGTGTTTATTTGAAACAGCAAGAAGTTGCGAACTTTTAGTTTAAAAAGGAGACTTAGATATCGTTCAAAATAATATTTTCACATGATATTATAATAATATTATCATAGAGACTCAGACATGGTTAAGCTGGAATTGAATAAATTGATTATATATATATATATATATATATGTATATAATAGTAGTATGCAGGATTTACAAAAAAAATTCAGAGGTGAATTAAACTTGTAACGTTTAAAATCATACAATTCGTAACTACTTATTTGGCATATAAGTCAATGGAACAATTAAATAGATGATAAAATGATAGACAAATTTTATACAATATATTATTAACACTCTTAAAGAGAATTTCCTCTTTTAAACGTAATTTGCAAACAAAATCATGTGCATTAAAACTTTAATACCAATACTGTACCATAAAATTTAAAGATCATAGGATTTACTATATTCACTGAAGTAATTTCAAATCCAACCTATCTTTGCATAACAGGAAGGGATGTTGTTAAAACTGCATAATTTGAGCAATTGCAGTACATGTATGCGGTAAAAACGTCATCTTTTACCAAGTATACTCGTAATTATTGTCGTAATATACACGATGCAAATCTATAAATGCCGTAATACAATTAAGACTGTATTACTTTCATTTCAGATCTCTAGCATCCAAAAGCAAATTAATCATTTTAACTTCATTAACAATGATATATATTGTAAATTGCGAAATGCTCATTAATGCAAACTAGAACATTTAAAAGGAAATATTCAAGGTCGAATTAAGAAATAAATGATAAGATAGGCCGAATACAGGATAAAAATCAAAAGCAATTGTAAGCAGAAGTATCATGGTTACTGTATCCGAATAAACTTAGTCAGGATCGATCCTCTAAATTGATTGCAGCTTTTCAACAAATACAACTGGAAACATTCCTATCCTAGTACAATCATCTTCAATGTAGCCACACTTATTATGCATGAAATAAAAAGCAGAGAATTAGCATGATAAATCGCACAGTAAGTAAATTTACCACATTTCAAGCTTTTACAGTAGTACTAGCGTCCTTACCCACCAATCCGGATCTGAATCACTAGTTACGATAATAATCTCATTCTCTTGAAATGACAGTTCATCTTCATTGTCAGCTTCACAATCATAAAGTGCCTTAACACGAATTTGCCTTCCTTTTCTCTATAAATGCAATATATTATGAACTCAACTTAGTTGCATAATACAAGATTTCTTTATAAATCTCAATTGACAATTCTTGTCAAGTTACTGTCTCAGAATGATATTTAAAAATTTTTTCTAACACATAAGCTAATTGTTTATTATTACTCACAGCTAAAGTACCAGGTAAAAGATCAGAAGGATTACTATACTTTTCGCCACTCTGCGAAGCTAAGTTTGGCAAGGTGTTGCTGCTTGTTTCATTTTCGTAGATATTATCACCAGCGGGTTTCATGAAATATAATGCTAAAATATGTACACAAGCATATTTAGGTATTTAAGTCTAATCCTGAAACGACTTTGATCTTGAAATATAAGCACGTAAAGATCTATAATTAACTTACATTGACGGTTGGCTGAGTTATGATAAGGATTACTATGACTTCTTATGTTCGACATCCGGGAACTAATACAAAAATAAGTAAAATTTTATCTGCTTTAAATATTATAAATTCTGCCTTCTAAACGTAAAACTCAATTTAGTAAAAATAAGCATCCATTTAACTACCTATCTGAGAGGATACCGTCATAGTAAGAAGATCTCTTATTATTGTCCACTATCGAATTAGTATATCTGTTAACTGCGGTGTGTTTCTTATCTAGACTTTCATCAAAGCTTAAGGATCTTCGATGATCTACTCGACCGCTATGATCACTTCGATGAGATCCAGAACGATAACGATATGATAAATCAAGACTGATATCTTTCGGTGCGATGCATTCCGATTTTTGCTATGCATTACAAGAAAGCATTAATAACAAGATGACAATACATAGTAACGTGAATAACTCAAAGCACTATCAATACTATTCGCGAACGAATGATATAGTCAAGCAATACTCAGTGGTGAACTATAGATTATAATATTAGGGAAGCAATAAGAAATACCTTCGTTTCTAAGTATCGGGCGTCATCTAACTCGTCGTCACTAAAATCTTCCTGGGCTGGTAAATGAACATATATCGATTCCTCGCCCTAAAAACACGCTCAATTGTTGTAGAAGCAAAAACGAACAACGATCTTGAAAGTAAACAAGCAAACTTACAGCCATTATGCCCCAATCTTCTACATGAATTTGATCGCAAGAGCTTAATTGGTTGTTCATTATACTTTCTAACTATTGATTGCAATACATTAAAGATTTAAAATTATGAAATTAAATCTTAATACGATTCTAAAATAATACTGGAAAAGAGAGAACATGTTTACCGTACCAAATCAACACATTTATTACACGATCTCGATTTAGCCAAATCAAGAGCAGTTTCTTTTTTGTTATTTGTAATGTTAGGATTTATTCCACCTTTAGCTAGTAACTTAATGCATTCTGATTGATCACTTCTTGCAGCAATATGAAGTGCCGTATCGCCATTCATCATTTGGTAACTAATATCTTTACTATTAAGATAACAGGAAAAAGAATATATAAGACAATCGCTTAAACTATAAAATTGATAGTATAAATAAAATACCATATCAGTACCTATTTTTGGCAAGAAAGTCAATTATGTGTAGCGATAACGAACAATCCCGGTTAATTGCGTGATGTAACGCATTTCTTCCATCATTCTATAGTTAAATATAAGATAAATGCCATGGACTTATTCTGTTTATATGAACTCAACAATATCACAGATTCACAGATATGATGATGCCATGTATAGTGTAACTATACTTATGACTATACCCATGGTATAGAATAAGGAGTACTCACGTAATTTGGTAGCGGGCCAGTAAAATTGGCATCTTCAACAAACGTTTGCAAAAGTCCTTCAATATTAGACATCTCGATTGCAGATTCCATTCCCTATCAGGTTTTATGTAGAATGGCCTGTTGAAATACTCCATAACTACTCATTTACAAAACATGAAATTGATTTGTTTGTTTTGCTCATACTTTAATTAGATATTCTTCGGAAGTATATTTTCGTAAGATAAACCTTTTGGCAATGTACTTTGCTTCTATGAATTTTTGTCTTTCATCCCTAATGTTGTCAAATTGCGAAGATTGGCAATATTGAAAATCGAGCGGTTTTATTATATGCATAAAATCTTACATTTGGCTAGGCGACTGCAATTTATCTTCGGGCGATAGGGACGCTTCAAAAACTTCATTAAAACTGTAGTTTCCTATAGTCCTTGCCAACTGTAATTATATAATTTCCTTCAGGTTAATGTCCACAGTTATCAATTACGAACATGTAGCAAATACAGATAAAAGCATAGCTGTTAAATTATTATTTCAACTCTACCAGTAATTCTGATGTTACAATATTGTCAAGAGTTAAAGATCTTATCCGTGAGTACTGAACGCCTAATTGTCGATGTATTCCAGAGCATTCGATGCATAATAGAATTCCAAGATTAGTGGAAAGCCAAGTCGGATCTGTTATTAATTTACGTACATTTTGTTATTCGAATTTACGATAGTAAAGGATATTATTTCTACATTCATTAATATTTCCATTACTAATACTGTATCACAATACAAAGATTGTTAAGATTCTTATAACTTACCTTTACTATTACAATCACAACATAGATTATTTCCCTTCCGTAATTTGATATCAAATAAGATACTGTCTGTAAGCTATCAATCAATGATAAATAAACTATTAGCTGCAGTTACAACATCAACTTTACTCTCCCATCTTAATTACCTCTTTAACGGCGTTAGAACTTCTTTTATCAATAATCGTCTCCTGAAATTTCAACCAACGATATCGATTTAACAGTGGTTAAATTGTAAATCTAATCGATTTTCAACGATATAATACTTAATTACTACACTTACGGAATTATAGGTCTTATCAAAAGCTTGATTTAGTGCCTGTTCTCTGCTGTTAGCTACTACCGATATCCATCTGCATTCATTCATAAGCAATACTCAGAAATCGAAAGGACAGAATGATTAATTATTAATAACCTACTGATTTAACTCTGATTCATCTTCAGCTTGGAAGGTTATAGTACCACTACCTGCGTTTCATATTTTAAAAAATTAGATTTATTGTATACAATCTGCATGAAGCTTAAAAAGGAACATGCAAAGTATATTTACTAGATGTTACATACTAGAAAATATCATGAAATTCCATTTCTTAGCATCTTGATCTCTGCAATCCTGGTAAATAAAGTGATCATAAAATGAATTTTTTACGTTGATACAAGAAATCACCAATAAGCTTGTTAAGAGTGGTGATTCTCTCATTTACCTTTGCTTGACACGTGAGTAAATTTAATGTTGTCTTTGGAGGACTAGTCTAAGAAAATAAAATCGATCGACTATTACTGTGTATGATTTGCTAGAAAAATGTTTTTGTAATAACTAAAAATTTTTCCAACCGCTGCTGTTGATATAGTCATATATCCGTTTTTTATGGCACAGTATCGTTTATGCCAAGTTTTTCTTATCCTAAAATATCAATTTTTACAGTGATTCTTACGTTGAGCTGAAATCTGAGATCGTTTACACCGAATTTACCCTTTCTCGCTTTTTTTGTAAAGATACCCAGATTTTTCGTAGCCAAATGTTTTGTCTCCCCGATAGCCATGTAAACTATATCCCGATACATTCGTATTGCTCTACGTCATTTAAAAAAAGTTCGTTTTAGAACTAAAAAGTACACAGATACGATCTAGATCTGGAGTAATCTGATTAAGTTATTTCTCTATCTAGCTTTAAATTTATTTTTTAAGTGTAAACCTGCTCCGAACATGTCTTCGATTGTTTCAACGTAGCATTTAGACCGGTTAAATGCGATCTAATTTCGTCTTGTTTGCCTTTTACCTATAAAAAAATAAACGCTATATTTACTCAATGTAGATACTAGTGTAAAATAATAATTTATAGTAAGGGTATTTCTACGATGTTAAATTATGATAACTTTGCCGGAATAGGTGCATAATGAAATAATTGAAAACAGAGAAGTTATGTAATATACTTATCAGTACAATTTTGTTGCTGAATTAATGACGTTCAATATGCAATATAGCAAGAATTATGGAATCAATAGTATACCAGATATTTACCGTAGCTAATTCTTTAGTTAATTCTTGAATATAGGGTTTAAAGCCTTCTAACATTGCAAACCCTTCCTGAAAATAGCTAGATTAAAGGAAGAAATAATTCAATTGCTGATTTTGCTGCTTTGTTGTTTACTGATCGATAGTGGAAACTGTATATAGCTATCTACTAAAGTGCATATTTGTAGTAGTCGTACAGTAAAAATAGTTTTAAATAGATTTAATAAAATTTTCGAAGAAAATCTAACCTAACTTGAGAGTGGTAATAGTCAACTAAACGTTGGACAAATTCTATCCTTTGTTTCAATTTTGCATCGTTCACTTTTATGAAATACTAGATAGGGAAATAAATTTGTACTTAGATTAATAAAACTTAAGTTAGGATTTTTGTAATACAACATTAAAATATTAATAGATAAAATTACCAAAGTCTCAACTTACGTCGCAAAGTTGCATTTGCAGGTGACGCTTTGAGTCAGAATCAGATTCAGCGGACTACACCAGGTGTAAAAATTAAAAAAAGTTTTGTAGCATTGCATATTTCGTTATTACAGCATACATCACAATTATATCATGATGCTACAAAGTATGTTATAATTTAACTAAGACAAGTCAATTTATGATGATATTGAACAGAAAACAAATTTGAATGCTTCGCAGTATGATTCATTCTTTGCATCGAAACGCCTACCTCGTGCTGGCGATCACTATCGAGTTTTCGTCTTTCATTTCTAAAATACCGAGGAAAGTATCAAATGATGAAATATTAGCTAAATAATAGGGAATATATTTACCCTACATTGTCCAGTAAGCGTCACTTAACAAATAAAGCGTATTATCATAAAGCTAACATTCTGGTATATTTCTTTAATCTATAAGTGGTATCATTCTATGCAGTTAAACGATCTTAATGTACCATGGCAAACTATACTATGCAATAGTCTAATATCTAATAGCGTCATTATTAATTGTTATTTTCCGTGAAGTTATAGGGTTGTAATACTGTATCACAACAGTTACAGTGTTATTAACTAAGCAGTAAATATATAACTTTTACTAAATAGATCATCCACTATATGCATACAGTGATAATATAATGGCATTTTGTTGCAATAAGATATTCCAGATAGAAACGAAGACGTTTTGCAAACTATGGTTAATAAATTACTGCTTTAGATATTGTTTTTAATCATGCACCATCTACCTTTTTGAATCGTAATCCTTAATCAACTTCTCGATGGCTTCTACGGCCTTTTTCAATTCCTTTTACACAAAGAACATTCTCATCTTTAATGATTTATTAATGTCTTACATTTAATTCATACTATACCGTGCGTACCAACTTAGAGTTCTTTCCGCCACTTTTGGCGTGACCATCATTTTGCAATGAGGCTAAATTGGAGTGACTATGGACCTAATAAAGTGATTTTTTTAATTGGCTTGAAAACCTTGACGTGTTACTTAGATAAAAATAATAAAAATCATGTAACACAGATTGCAGGCTATTGTACCATACGTAGTAAAATTGAAGAGCTAAAGGCAAATTTACAGCTCGTTTATTAATTATTTATAATATGAGCTGTTGACTATAGACAAGATAAAATCATGCATAATCTTGAATATTAGTAATATAACGATTTTAACGCATTGTTACTACCACATTGCTGATTATTATCTAAAATGCATTAAGTTATATCGCACGGCATAGGATAATACGTGCCACAGTACTTCAGTAATAATCGATATCGATATCGCTATCAACACTGCACCCACTAACTTAACTACTGAAGGTGGAAGGGAATATAAGAATAGTAGGAAAATCTGTAGTACGCTTTACACCTCAATTACTTCAGCAATCAATCTTTTCCAATTATCACCATTAATAACTTACTAGACGTTTCGATAAAGCTGCTAGCTCCTAAAAAAAGCAAGAAAGAGAACTCGCCGTAAGCCCGAAGCTATGGTGCGCAATCATGAGATAAGTAAGTTGATGACTTGATTAACTCGGAAAATTTCAGATATCTGTGTAACATTAATAATTAACTACTTTTTTACTGATACAACTAGCTTGAAAGAACGTGAGGCTTACACTCACAAAAAAGCTCATTTTGCGAGGTAACATTATTAAAATGTACTCAAATCTAACTTCAATTGCCGTATGGAAATATTCTGTTATAGATATTAATATCACTGCGATTGATGACATCCCTGATCTTTAAGATCAGCTCAAATGTCGAATAGTGAAAAAAGGTAAATGACCGTGCGATACGATCTTCAAATGCGTTAAATACTCTTCATCTAAATGAGTGACTGAAGTACACGGTAATAGAGTTGAAAATGTAAGTGTACGGAACAATTCAAAATCTATTAGAATATTTTAACAGCACTGTGAATTTTTGGATCAGTACATGTACCTTATATTGACAAAGTATGGTTCTCTAGCTAAAGATTAGAATGAATTATGTTTCTAGGTGCACGTATATAAGTCGAAATGTTTTATATTTTAATTTGCATCGTTTCCATTCATTAAGTAATGCATAAGCGAAATATTAATCTAACCTTTTGAAGTTTTGCAAAATTGATAAAGGCAGCACCTGCATAGAAAACCGGAAGGCATTATAACAATGGAAAGATATTGTGTTAGGGTATTTATTAACTTAACAATAGATTTCTTCTGTTTTATAACAGGCTCAGGAATATTGAAGTGATATATATATATATATAAATGACTGACACTAATTACGTAAATATTTTAAGGTTTTGTCGGTTAGTCAGCTCTAAAAAAGCCTTAATAAATAGAGCGTAATAATGCTAATATCAATTGTTACAGTTTAACAAAAGATACTGTAAATACAAATGCAATACTATTCATTTGCATGTACTACTATTATGCGTAGATATTCATATAAAAGTAAATTGTTCCATAACATCTTAAGGAGATGTAAATGACTGCATTGTGCACATGGGATTGCTCTCATATGTTCTTTATAGTCACGAATTTGAACGTACAAGCATATTGAATTGCTATCAAGCGATTTTAAATATTTTAAAAGTATATTTTTCCCTTATGCGTTCAATGGGGATGACTAAATAGTACTATAGTGCAATCTGTTATTAGCGATATCTTTTGATGATCATGGTAACTGCTGGATATAAGTAACTGGTATTAGTAACGGGTATAAGTGCTGGGTATAAGTAACGATAACAGTTTACTCGTATTCACGGCGCAATGTTGTATAAATATGATATATGAGTATAAGTACTTAAGTTACAATCGCATATATGATGATCAGTTGTGGATAAATCATTTACTTTGCAATAAAATCGACAAAGTTAATAGACGTTGCAAAATATTGGCTATTGTGAAAGGCTTTAATCAATATAGAACAATGAGTAACAAAACACAATGCAAACGGCTGCTTTTTTATCGAATTTTTATATCGAGCAGTTTGTTTTCTGCAAGGAGGAAAAAGAAATCCTAATATTGTCTTTATCAAATTAACAAACTACCACCTTTCATAATACTGCAAGGAAAACTTACTGTATTACTATACCGTGTAAAATAATCGTGTTGTCATATCACGTAATTAGTAGCCTATTCACTGTCACTACTGAATAACCTATGTTCAAATTTGTTACGTTGTTTTGCTATCAATACGAACCCATTTCAGCTTCTTTCGATATAGTCTGCGATCCTAGTTTATCCAGATAATCGGCAAGCTGTAATTGTCCTGCTGAATAATCTAAGTATGCAAATAAGACAGGCAAGAAAAAATCTATCAATAACGTATGATATAAGAAAAAGCTCTTTCCATCGCTTATTTACATAAGTATTAATACTTTACTGTACTCTATTCAACCTATTGCAACGTAAGAGAATCTAGCTTGAAATTGCATGACCTAGTACATATGTATTCAAAATTGGATGGCCTGCACAATTTGACTCTAGTATTGATTCTATCAATATGAATGCATACTTATTTGGTTAAAATGATTTCAATTTATTCATTACCTGTTATATTCGACACCAGACTTTTGCAATACTTTTTTAGTTTTTGCAAGTTAATTTGATCAAGTTCCAAACTCTGGAATGATAAGGTTTAATCAACTGCTTAGTTAGAAGAAACACCCCAGCAAAAAAAAAAGAGGCGAAGTAAAGCTTATTGTGCACCTTTTGACATGGCTATGATCTATATCTATAGTCTATCTGTGTATGTGTACAGTCCATGCGTATACAATATAGCGACAAACAATAGGGAAAGGATTAAATGTAACAAAATAGTGTAAACGAGTCTATTACGAAAATCTCAGCGTTTACACTCTATGCCAATTTTTGAATTAGTACTATAGGCGAGAATCAGCAAAGGTATGCTTGATCAAACCGTCAATTAACGAGTATACAGGAGCAAGCATTTACTAGAAGATATGATATCAATTGTTTCAAAAACAGATCATGTAGTATTCGGTTAATAACGTATTCCATTTGTTTAATCGCATTTTAATACGTTGGACTGAGAATGGATTAGTGTTTCATCAACATCGACTTTGATGCATAGAATGAATACTTTAAAAAATGTTGTAGTCCAGCAAATGGTCTCATGAACCAATCGAGTATCTATTTACTATCGATAACATAGCCGCTGGAGTATCAGCAGAATTATCATACAGAAAGCGGATGCGCAACATGGTAAGTTGAGATCTGCATTTGGAAATTTGGCCATTGACTGTCATGACGAGGAACGTATGAATACAGTCAGTCAATGATGACGATCGGATGAGAATAGATTGATTTGCAATGTTGAATTGTGACACTTTCCTCCTCTTGCATTGACTGTCTACTGGCTAATATGGATATACGGTTGGGTTAAGGCTCGTAACAAGTAGCTGTAGCCAGGATTGGATACCCTCCACAACGATATATAGTGAAGAAAGTGCTTTATCGCTTACCACTGGACACAACATTTGCCCATAGTATACGGTAGTATGGATGATATTGTCTACTATCGCATCTACTGTATACCCAACCTACTCTTGCCTAGGACATTGATCTCTCTTTGTGACAAGCATCATCAGCAAAGTGCATGGGTAGCCATGGCTTAACTACGTGTACAATAGAAGAAATCAACAACAAGAAATAGATCGTGATGGACTGACCTCCTCAATTCCTCCAACCACATAGCGATAACCAGGCAACTTGCTATCGAAATCGAAGTCGGAAACGGTCGTCTTGTCTAAATCGCGTCGGACATCATCAATGAATTTATGAATGATTGCTCGATCAACCATTCTCTCTTAGCTCAATGAATCAAGCTTTGCAAATCAACCAATATTGCAATGAGAAATGACACTTAAAAGTTTGTTTAAGTGATTTTCCACCAGCAAGAACAACAACAACACGATACTTTCTAAATTTGTTGATTAATCCTCCAAACGATTGCTATGGACACTATCGTCGACAATGCCAGCTGGAGTAAACTACGTCCGTAATTCTTGGTGATTTTTGATTTTCACTGCGATACAGTAATACGGTAATGGACGGTCATATATTTGGGGGGGGGGGGTTAATCCAGTATTGTTTTGTATGCCATCTATAGCCTGTGTGGACCATGGCCACTTGACACGGTGGTCAAAACGCAGTCCAACCTTGGAGTGTAGTAATGTACCAGTGTCTACCGGGGGGTGTCGTAGTCAGTAGAGCAAAAGGCTTTGGTAGGGTAATGTATTTGGGGGGGGGGGTTAATCCAGTATTGTTTTGTATGCCATCTATAGCCTGTGTGGACCATGGCCACTTGACACGGTGGTCAAAACGCAGTCCGACCTTGGAGTGTAGTAATGTACCAGTGTCTACCGGGGGGTGTCGTAGTCAGTAGAGCAAAAGGCTTTCGTAGGGTAATGTATTTGGGGGGGGGGTTAACCCAGTATTGTTTTGTATGCCGTCTATAGCCTGTGTAGACCATGGCCACTTGACACGGTGGTCGAAAGTGTGTAGTAATGTACCAGTGTCTACCGGGGACCGGGGGTGTCGCAGTCAGTAACAGCAAAAGGCTTTCACTCCGGGGTGCAGTTTGTTGTACTGTACTGTATGTTTGCTCATCGTGTCTAGCTAATTGTTGTGTTGAGTCTTGGCACAACTCGATAAGCGCTTTGGCAGTTGTCAGCTGTCTGGTTTACGCCATTTTCCTACCATGTTGCTACAATGTAACCAATCGAGGTAAAAACAATGGATCAGATCCGGTCGGAAAAACTTTCTTTAACCTCTATGCAATGTCACAACTGGAACAACCCTCAGATTCATATCGTAACGATTTCCTGGAGAAGAAAACGGCTGATTGCGACCGAAAAACTAGACTGCAGTAGAGCTACATTCATTTTTTTTTTGGGGGGGGGGGGGGGGGGGAGCTAACAATCAGAGTCATGCTGTATTCAAATCTCCGATCTCAAGAGTTAAGATCACAGACTTGAGTACTGTACACTGTACAGCATGACAAAAATCCTTGGTGATCCAGTTATACTGTAGTTAGTACTCGCAATGATCATGGCGAGTTGGTTTTCTACTTTAGGCAGTACTGTACAGACACAGGATGAGGAAAAGATCTTAATATTGTACAACGGAGTGCCATGCATCATTAGGCATGGCACCATGGACTACATGAAAACAACCTAGTTTTCTTCTCGTAGTCCATGACACAATGGCACAGTACAGTAAAATCATGAATTTGATTCTACTCCTAAATTAGAATTATTATTATTGCTGCACCAATATCCAGTAGATTCATGTGGATAAGAGACCACTATCGTCTATCAGCGATCACTGCAACTACGTTGGGATAAAAGAATTGAATTGAATTTCAAGTAGCACACAAGCGCATTTTTGTTTATTTACTAAACTGCACAATATAAAGTACAGTGAGCCATGAGTGCATACGATCATGGACTACCAGAAAAAGATCTTGTTTTAGTAGTCCATAGTATGGTAGAACTAGGTAGAACCAGAGACTTGTATGACTAATTGTAGTCTTCAAAGTCCCTAGAAGAACCGTAATCAAACGGAGAAACTTCAATATTAAGTGTGTTTGTTTATCTTTTAACCAGCCGATGAATGCTGCTGAATGTCACGTCTGCACGTCTGTACGTACAGGTATGGTAATTACAGTACAGTACAGTATAGTAGTCTACAGTACATTGTACAGTAAACTCTACAGTATACAGTACTGTACAGTGTACAGTACTGCTGCTGAATGTCACGTCTGTACGTCTGTACGTAAGGTATTGGTGATTACAGTCAGTCCTAATTACAGTTGTACAGTACTGTAGTCTACATTGTACTGTAGACTCTACAGTACTGTACTATACTGTACTGTACTGTACTGTACTTTGCCGTATCTTTTAACCAGCCGAATGCTGCTAAATATCATGTCTATACTGTACTGTACGTCTGTACGTACTGGTATAGTGATTACAGTACAGTACAGTACAGTAGTCTACAGTACATTATAGACTCTACAGTACAGTACACTGTACTTTGCCGCACCTGCCCGCCAAGGCGCCAACCAACCTGTGCTACGGCTGAAACGAAAGCAAACAGACATTAATACGCGAAATCCAGGTATACCGCCATCTTTCCAGTTGCTTACCTGTAGTCTAGGTCATCTAGTTTTAAACTGACATCTCCATCATTGATTACTGTATTGGAAGATATCCTCTTAACTGAAGTAAAGCTACTGTGGAATTGGCAATCCCATACGCCTTTGTAAATATACAAGTACACGACACGATAATCGAACATTCCTGATCGAAATGGCTGATGAACCAATGGATGTCGATGACTCCAATACCCCGACTTCAAGCCAAGGTATGGCAATCCAATCACAAAATTCAAATGCTGACTTGTCAACATTATCCACGGAGCTAGTTCGCTACTTTCTATTTAAACAGTGTAATCGAACTCCAATTAAAAGATCAGATATTTTAAAGGATGTGCTTTTCGATTATAAAAAATATTTCGATAAAGTCATGACGTTAGCGAAAGACGAACTGTTGAAAGTTTTTGGTGTAGAAGTAGTGGCTATATCTCGTGATCAAGGCGACGAATCCATCAAGGAAAAAACCAAAACTTCTGCCGAAAATCGCTATTTTCTGCGTAACACTTTGCCAACGGAAAACCAAAATATCATTAATAGCACCGATCATATTGAAGAATATGGACTGTTGACAATCATATTAGCCATCATCTTTATGATAGGAGGCACGATGAAAGAAACCGATTTAGTAGATAAGCTGCAAGCCCTCCTTGAATTTGATAAACGTAAACCTCATTATGTATTTGGTGACATCTCCAAAAAGATTGATCAGTTTGTAAAAACCATGTATTTACATCGTACTAAAGAACTTGTCAATGGTGAATTTATCATCGAATACTCCTGGGGTCAGCGATCGCGAGTAGAAGTAGACAAAATGGAAATTCTCCGGCTTGTTTCTGATCTCATGGATATACCCGTTGAATCGTTGACTTCCCAATACCAAGAAGCGATGCAGCAGTGACCGATGCAAATGATGTACGAGATACGTATACTACAGCTGCAGTTGATGGATACTCTACCTCTCGCACTCAGAAGGAGATGAAATAGGATAAATGTCTTTTTTTCAATTAGGAAAGCATGTTAAGCGTAAACACTTGAAAGTGGCCATAGCATTCCTACATTTCTCCACTTAGTATGAAATTATGGGTACGAGAAACGACTGTTGTAAAGTATACCTACTTGCCATTACCAAACTGTTCTTAATTTCTTATCTCCGCCAATACTTGAATACAGCAATTTTGATATTAAAATATATTTTTTTAAATGAGTTCTAGGATCTATAAGTAATCTATAAATGTATAGTTTATACCGATGAATTCATTTCTAACAGTAAACGAATGATGACATTACAATGTCGCAAGAATACTTCACTTTTATTTGGAAAGACATTTTAATCCCTTTCAGAAAAAATCAAAAGCAGAAATTTTCCTATATGCACCGTTTGTTATTCATGCGTAGCAAAATATCTTCACTCCGAGTAAAAATTAACGTTATATTAGTATTGTTTTACCGATGCTATTTCAGATGCGAATAGAGTGGTATTTGTTGTCAATTTCTTGAACGGATAAATCTTGCTTTAATTTCGTGTATGAAGTGCTTAATTGTTTGCGCAGATTTGTGCTACTCTATCGAGCAGACTTAATCCTAAAGCAAGACACGTATTATTGGCATCGGTGACCTTTGTTTAAAGTTAAATTTATTATTCTATTACTCTTTCCTCAATTGTACCATTTGTTAGTAAATCACGGACGTAATCTTCGTACGTATGTACAGTACAGTACAATGTATTATACCAGTGACACTGTTTCTCGATCGAAAGTGTGTCTATTTATCTTTCTGTGATTAGAAATTCTGTTGTTTATGAAATATCTGATATTTCGAATTTACCGGAATGATAATAAATAATTCCACTATTATATTTCAATGTACAGCATGAAAATGTTCATTCATCCTTACGCGCATCTGTGGGTGAATGAATGATTTAATTACTTCCATTTCACAAAGTATATCCAATATGTGTACTTTAGGTATCTGAAATGAATGTTTTATAATCAACATTCCCCTGGTAAAATTAGACTGTTTTTTTGGTCGCTCAAGGAAAGCTTACAAGAAGAGGCAAACCACGTTAAATCGTAATAATTTATAGTGAGTGATTTTAAAAGTTAAATAACGCTGAGCTAAAGCAGTATACCATATTAATGATAACCTTCACATGCGATGATCTCGTTCTGACATAGTAATGGTATCGTTAAAGGCTTCGATAGCTTTCCAGCATATTTGGATTATTTCCGCACATACTATATCGTACATTACATTACAAATGTGAAAATGATGTAACATTATTCGGCAATGACAACCTCCTCCTTTAAACTGGATCTTTACAGGACTAGATGAAGGTGGCATTTCACTTATGTTGACAACATAGAACATATACAGTACATTATTTTTCTTCCTGTCACTGCCGCATACCACTGTACTAATAACGATTTAACTATTAATAATCTTTAAAATATCAATAATACATAATAAGAAAAAAATCGACATGATTAATACTACAGCGACTAAGGCATTTGAAAGTAGACGTACAGATTTCACGACCAAGGCTCAGATTACGAAAACCAAAGCGGTAGATCAGGAAAAAGTTCACTCACACACTAATTCATGTCCATGCACAATATAAAAATGACTTCGGACGATTATGCCTGCTTCGAATATTGAAGTGACGTTCTCAATAAACACTTAAAAAAATTTATTTATCTATGCTGTATTTACAACATATGAATAACAGTTAAGAATACAAAGTCGAGAAGTGCGTATCCTTCACCATCCCTGAGAAGGATTGCTTATTGTGTGAGTATAAAATTGTCATAGAGTGATATATGAAAACCACAAGTCACTATGATGCTTTTCCTAACTCAATCTTTAACATCTTCGCAGAATGATATACCATAGCATCAATCAAGCTGGCAACTGTAATTGAAAGAAAAAGCGATAATTTATACGTTTAATACTTACATAATAAATCATGATACAATCGAGTTATAAGTTATTAAGCAGCAAAATTACAATTATAGATTCTTAGTGAATACCTGTGAATACACCACCGATAATTGCGCAGACACCAGTTAAAAAATGAGCGAAAGACCTAAAACAATGTAATGGATCCCCATAAGTATAAATATAACTAAATCAAACAAGTATTGAACAATATCCAATATACGAGTACTGCTGTTAGTGCTTGACTATAGCAATCATTCAATATATAATATGTGCTCTAGACAATTAATACCAAGTTGAGCAATTCTGTCTACCGTAATACGTACAATCTATAATTTGATCTTAGCAAATAAGTTTATCGCACTTACTTTCTTCTTTCGGCATACCGGATTATCATGGGAGAAAGTTCATACGAAATAAAGACGCCTGGAAGACCTTGCTCACCCATACTAAGTTTAATATACTTCAAATGCTTGGTTACTGAGTACTGGTTGCTTTTGACTTCCTAATTAAAAGAAATTCTTTCCAGAATAAGTAATCAAACCGTAAGCTAAGAAAGCATAAGTTTGAATAGATTTTACCTCGCCTTTTAACTTTTTATAAACGGTCGGAACGACTTTAATAAAGTATTGGTACATAGCTGAATCTAAAGAATTTATTCTCATTAATAAATAGTATTAGCGATAATAAAGACTTTCATGGTTTACCTTGATCAGAAGACATTCGATGGCCATCTAATGGATTTATAATTCCAGGAAATTCCTCTCCAAATGACAATTTGTGAATGGTATGAGACGTATTAAACTAGTTTTATGTACGTAGTGGGTCCAAATAAGAGTAAGATCAGCAATTCATTAGAACTCAAAAATACATTACTAGCAAAAAAGGCAGACTAATTTACTTTCACATTACCTTGCGTGATCCAAATGACTGCAAATCATGTACTAAATTAAGTAAAAGAAAAAGTTTATCTTACAAATCAATACTTGTCATGGAAGCTATGTGTAAATTGCCAAACTATGAAGTCAAGCGTTACCATGAACACGATGCTGTTGGAAACTCTTCCCAGGAGCGAAGTGAAAGTTACCAGCAACCTAAAATTGGTTCATTGGACAAAAAATCCTTAATAATAGTTCAAATGCTAAGACATAATTTCACGGAATATCTAGTAGGTTACTATATCACTACAATGCAAACTTGAAACTACCTTATTAACTTCTAAATAACCGAATACATTGCAACCTTCCTTTTCTTGCTCTTTTAACATTTGAGCCCATCCTTCTTCTTGACACTTCAAAGAAATTTATATCAATCATTAGAATTTGTATCAAATTCTAAATTCTATTTACAATATTAGTCAGAACGGTCATGCTTGCAAACTTTAAAAGTAAGATGCCACATCATTATAATGTTTTACGAATTTCCTACAATTAACAGTATGAATAAACAATGCCTATTTGATAACAACGAACCTGCTCTATACCTTCAGGGCTGGTTAAGGCCCAACCTTTTTTTCGGTAAGCTTCCCTGACATCTTCACATGAATTGCAACATCTGATACCGTGTAAAGATCACACAAGTAAACACAAAATCCAAAAAATTTCTTATGCTACAAATTTCGCACGGGTATAGAAATAATCTAACTTCATCTCAGCATTTTCAGCTCCATAGCAGGATCCACATTTAGTTTTATTCTTTTGAACAGCCTAGGAGATTAAAGGTAGTCATTCAGACAAATAGATCTATGCTATATCGAGCTCATCATTGACGTTCACTATTTGACCAGCTAACCTTAGAGTCGGTAGTTGTGTTGCTGATTTCTTAAATAAATGAATAATAAAATACGAATATAGCAGTTAAACAAGCAATCTGAACAAACAAAATGTAGCAACTGGTGTTAACATACTATAAAGACAAGTGCAGAAGAATGATATTTGCGGTAGCAATAGCAAAAACTACTTACTTTGCACTATAACATCTCCTGTAGGTTTACCATTCTCATCTATGCGCCGTTTCATTAAATTTTGCTTGATATCTAGTTGTTGCATACCAGCAACATCCATTGTATCTACACTAAGTACTTGAAATGTAAAAACAATCTTAAACTTGAGTACTAGATACCTCACTATTAGCTATATAATGAAATGTTAAACGAAGATTTAGATTTAGATAGAGATAAATTTCATCTACAGTTTTTACTTGCACATGCCATTTTCGGAAAGGTTACATTCATATATATCTTTATTTTTTCGCCTCTAGAAGTATCTACAAAGAGTTCCGAAGTTACCTACGAAGGAAAAATGAGATTAATCTGTGTTAGAATAAAAAATAGATATAGGTGTTATATTGGTGTGAAATGTGTGTACTATATTAAACACAGCGACCGTCTAAAAAAATTAATTTGATCGACTTATGATAATTTACAATATCCTATCTGACTTAGGTAAATACATCAATTTTAAAATAAAGACCGGATTATAAATAAAACATGTTGAAAAGCTAATCTTTGAATCTAAATACATTCTCGATTTACTCGTATACGTACTGTTAATGCAATACGGGACGAGTATTTTATGGTCAAAAAGTTATATACGATAGCTATCTATTTCTTACCTCAACCGATAAGTAATAATTCATCTCAGAGACAAATAGCAAGAGCATAATTACAGCACTTACGATGGTAACTGCGAAGAAAAAATAACAGTTAAGCACAGTATAGACATAGTAAGACTTCAATATCACGCAAAGATATTGCAGGGTACAGCATGTTCTGTTAAATAAATGTTCATCATTAATCAGACGTCGAAATTTATTTAATAATTATCTAAAATTTCCAGATTTTTCCTCAAGAACTATCAGTCGTCATTCTTAGAGGAACTAGCGGTAATCATATAAAGTTATATAAATTCAGATTGCTATAAGCTAAGATGCGTTAATGCAATCCCTAAGTTGTTTTTGCTATCTGGCTTTCGTGTAGAATGCATGTAATGTCTAGTGTATTTTTAAGGTAGTCGGTATATTAGGTTATTGTATGAACTGTAGTAATATAGGTAATAGTATAGGTTAGGTTGTACAATGGTGGATTAGTTATAAATATTTTACAAGACCTTGATTGAACAAAGAATTTGGATTCTAAGGTTCTAGAGTATCAGAGAATGACAGAAAATTTTAATTTACGCGATTTTAGCTATACCGATCTTTGAATTTTAAAAAGAGAGTTAATGTACTGTATATGGAAGCGAATAATCGTGAGTAAAGTACTGCTGGTAAATACTGTATGTACACTGTACAGCACAGCCTTCACGCTCTTTCGTATTTGAGATATGGGGGTTGGTATCGATATCTCCATTCGGGTTTACTTGTTTGTCAATCAGGGAAAAAGATAATAGATGATTCTTATTAGTAGTATTATTATACGATCAGAAATGCGGAGAGTATAAACTAGACAGGTTTCATCACTGTTCGCTCTCTGCCATAACTAGTACTGTAATTATCTTGTAAGCTGACAAGAGTACTCTAGTCAGTACCATTTCGAGATTAGAAAGCGAGACTTTGCTCACATGTCAACTGACTATTGTGGAATAAATCTATGCAAAAATGTTTGACTCGTATATTAATCCATATCGAGATTGAAAATCTGCTGATCTACAGCGATGTATGGATAAGAATTAGAGGGCTGGAACGATCATCAACGCTATTTACCACTTCGTCCACTTAATACTAATTGTTAGTATGATCCAAATAAATACAGTGCGGTTAAACCACAGTTTTATATAGTTGCATAAACTAGAGAAGAAGAGCCATTGTATAACTCAAGCTCATCCGTTACTCTTTTACGGTATCGAGATGATTATTACTGATATAAATGTATCAATCTACAGTATATTAATGCTTCTATAAGAAAAAGCAAAGTGGAAGTTTGTCTCCTGTTCCTGTTTATACTGTACAGTACGAATCTATCGATAGAATCCAAATGAACTCAATACCATTGTTCTACACTAAGTATTAAGTACCTCCTATTGCTTAAAAATACAATATTGAAACGCTTACTGGTTGCTCCACCGAATGTCCTTATCCTAAAATCTTCCAAGGTCTTTGGAAAAGCATCATACCTACGAAGAGATGTTAAAACCGATTTTGAGCTCATATCGCTCTACAAGATACCAGCACTTCTCCGATTTCGATGTCAAATGGATGTTGGATCGGAAGCGAATTTTGAAGCTCTAGCCGCAGCCACAGTATCAAGTATTAGTCTTACAGTATCTCGTACTGTACACTGTATGGCACTGGAGTGAAAATCACTATGTGCTACTGTACTATGTACTGTAGTACTGTCCTGGTATAGTAAATCCATGCACTGTACACTTTGAGTGGCTGTCGCTATTTTGCAGACCTGTTTGATACTGTAGAGTGTGCAGTAGTGCATGTATACGACATACAATAGGCGGTCGATTGACCACGACGATGATGGGGAGACAATCTGAACGATCGTTGTTGTAGAGCAGTGCTGTTAAGTTTGCTAATACGATCCAAAATTGAATGAAAGTCAAGAAGGATATTTTGTGTCTACTTTGCAAGTGTACACATTATATTGCTCCATTACGTTAAATAATTACTGTAGATGAGTATGGTTATTTTCATTTTTGTCATTGCTAAGACAATGGAGACTGCTAGCAAGCATTCTTCCCCTTTCTGTACCTATACGAGCGTATGCTTATTAGGGAATGCTGCAATATTGTCACCAAGGTCGAGGTATCAGCTTAAAATGTTGGATGAACTAAAATGCACATATGAGTATTAATAGACAAGCATGCTTTAATCCAATCAATCGATGCTTTAGTCATCTTTAAATTTTGAATAATCCAAATCAATCAAAATGGGCTACTTTGAACTAAGACTTTATTTACTTCAAGAAACGATAATACACTAAAGAGCCCTGTAACTGAACAAGTTACCGCCTTGAATTTTCTCATATTAATCTACACCTAAAGAGTCAAAAATGGAATTCCTTAAAAGTAGAACCTTAGGTGAAACAGCAACACCAAAAATATCACTCTTGTATTACTCATAATAACACCGACAATAGCTTGCATGGTTCCGGGATTCGTATAACTTAACCTCCCCAGTAGTAGAGAATAAAACTACAACCTGTAGAATAGATCTAATCTAATTTTATGTTTAGGGCTCACGAACTACTTGAATGACATCCTTCGATCGACTAGTATCGCTAAATAGATTTAACTAAACAGCGCCATAATTGCACTGTAAACGATTGCAAATGTATATGGAAACTTAAACATAAACTTGAAAAATATTAAATACTATATAAAATCGGGCTTTTAGTTCAATCTTGTTTGAAATCAATCAGTATAAGCATTGCCGGGAAACGTTTAGCAATATTAGATTTATTATGAAACGTCAAGAACTAAAAGAAATTATGACGATTTTAAAATCACTATCGTGAAGATAAAGTTATCGCCATATCGTTTCATTAATTCATTATCAATTATATTAGTAAGGCTAATACTTAATAATCAATTGCATATTTCAAAGGAATAATAAAATTAGATAAAAAGAACTATAGTGCCGAATTTACTTCAGCGCAACAACACAGATTCCAAATATTAGCCACAGCAATCTCCTCGAAAGTTTCAATTACAGCACTATCGAACAATACAGGTTATCAAAAAGGTAAATCATAATAAATTTAGCACGTTAAGATGCAACGCCAAAGATTTTATGATCGATAATCAGGGATACGCTTAAAGACGTCCTGATGCAACGGCATCTTGATACGATTGGCCTGCATCTGGTTTTTCATCAGGATAAAGTTTAATCATATCATCGATTCGTAGTATAGTAATAGCAGCTTCAGTGGCAAACTTTAAACTCTTAGTTTTACTGATAGTTGGTTCTAAAACACCAGCACCTTTGTTATCTCTAATTATCCCATCAACCAAATCCAAACCCATCCTTTGGATAGAAAATACTTACAATTAGCAAATATTGCTTAATATAACTTAAACGTCATATAAGTAAACAATGCAAAATACCATTTAAGACTTGCAAGCTTAGAATCCGTTTGCGAGCTACTGTGGCATGCTCTTAACTTTGCTACAAGTTCAGTTGCATCTTGAGCCGCGTTAACACTCAACGTTTTCGGTATAACCAATAGGGATCTAGCAAATTCCGCAATAGCGAGTTGTTCCCTGGAACTCTATTCAATATAAATTGTAATGAATAGGTATTAATTTTACTATCATAGAGTCATAAGTGAATCATTAACCGCTCACCAGTGAAGTAGCGAAATTTTCTAAGTATATCGATAAAGCCGCCTCAACAGCCCCACCACCAGGAACTACAGCATTCGATTCAATTACGCGCCGAACGACACACAAAGCATCATGAATCGACCTGTCCATTTCGTCTAGCATGAAATCGTTCGCTCCTCGAAGGATCATAGAAGCAGCCATACGAGACTTTGGCCTATGCAATAGATATATCGATTTATATTTAGTACTAACCATTAATAATTAATAAATAACAATTACACTTCAATACAAGTTCATCTTACTCTTTGATAACAATAAGTTCATCATCACAAATCTTATCTTGGACAACTTCACCAGCTTCACCAAGCATGGACGCTTCAAAGCTTTCCTCACCATCAAGGTTAGCGAGCGTCAACAACATGGTTGCTGCACAAATCAAGACATGCTTATATCACTTTAACTTCCAGTACAATGATTCAAATTTATTCTATAAATTACTTTCTGTTCTGAATTATCAATACGACCAATCATGTTATATACCTCCTGTTGCTTTTGCTATACGCTTCATATCAATCTTAGTTACACGTCGTACAGCCATAGCTTTAGCTTCCACGAAATATTTCAGACACAAATCATCAATTCCACCAGTACAAAGAACAACATTTGCTCCAGTTTTTAATATCTTAGTGATTCTTTCTTTCGTGATATCGGACTCCCTACGATAATTAATGATAGATCAATAATATTGCAAAAATTACAAATTTTCGCAGTTTTAACAGTACGCTACTTATTAAATGGTATTATTTCACGGACCGTTTACGTATAGCGTCCAACTTTTGGGGATCATCTACAATAACGTGCACACCTAATTTCATTTTAACCTTTTGTAAACTAAAATCCAGGCAAGCTATTTTTGCTTTTACAACCTTTTTGGTCATAGCTACCCAATAGAATAGAAATACTCATTAATAAACAAGTACAGTATTAATTAATGGGTCATTATTTCGCAATTACCTTGAGATGCCACTGTACAATTGAGGGCATAACCGCGAACTAATTCGCTTTCCAGGGAACTCTGTCCATGTGCTTTAAGGATATTTACAGCTTTAATAGGACATCGGATTTCTCCTTTTGCATTCGTCCTCTTAACAGCTAGAGCAGCATCGACAACCATTTTAGAAAAAAAATCCGAATCCCTATCATGCAAAAGTTATAGAGGATTACGATACCGATCGTCCTTTGCTATTATCAATAATACCAAAATAACTTTCAAAATAATTCTTACTGAACAAAACTTACTTGACTAATTTACAGTACAGTATAAGACAACGATACCTTATCTAATTATATTTACTTTTAGCTTACAAAATCCCTATCGGTGACTAACACAATTCCTTACTGCTGTATATATCTATACGATATCTATATGTACACATTGTAAACTAAAAAAAAAAATGATTTTACTGAGCATGAATTTATGTCTGCCCGTACATTCCAATTAGTTTAGATGACATGGATGTTTTAGCGGCGTTTATAAGACATTCACTTCCTAATTCTTCTACTGATACGCTAAGATGTTCGTTAATATACTTGCAAGCTTCCCTGGAAAGTATAAAAATAAACTTTAATCGCACAATAGCAACATTGTATTACGAATACGTTTCTGATACTTACTTGCAAGCAAGCCTATAGCCACTAATTATAGAAGTCGGATGAATCTTGTTCTTAACTAATTGTTCAGCATTTTTTAAAAGTTCAGCGGCGACAATTACCTAAAAGAATTCAAGTTACAATAAAGAACACCAACTAAATATCACACGATTTAGTATGGAATACTTTATGACGTAAAATGCTATTAGCATTACCACTGATGTAGTTCCATCTCCAACTTCTTGATCTTGCAAATCTGCAAGCTCTACAAGAATCTTTGCCGCTGGATGCTCAACTTCTAACATTTTTAATACGGTAGCACCATCGTTAGTTATTGTTACATCTCCGACTTCATCAACTAGCATCTTGTCCAAGCCTACTGGTCCTAATGAACTCTTGACAATATTGGCAATCGAAAGCGCAGCAGTAACTAAGACGATCAAATAGACAATTATAATTACTATTTAGAAATTTTATACGGGTTCCAATTACTCTAATTAGTCAATACAACATTTTGTTTCTGCATAAACATTTTAGGATAATCCAATAGTTGCGTCGTTATACTTCCACACAGAAATTGGTAATGACTGCCTCACCTGAGGTAATGATGTTGGTATAAACAAAATTGATGATGATATACGTGTATACTTCAATGCGTAAATAACAAGTTATACCAATATACTGTACAAGAACTGAAAGGTTTTCCTTGGCACAAAACATGCTACAGTATTCAATCCAAATATTACTCCCAATACTTTGAGACAGTCCAAGAAGTATTTTACGAATTTTACTACTTTTTCACTGTATCAGTCTACAGCCATAACCACAGTAAATCAGAACATGGCAGTAGAAATTCTGTAATAATTAACTATTCCAAATTTGTTACAGAGCGTATTACAGCAATTCATTTATAATAATAGTACTGCACTTTTTAAGTAAAGCAACGGTATTAGGTCGTAAGGTAGATTATTCTCTTATGGTGCAACGAGAAATACTCCACGTTCAAATCAATTCCTATACAGAAACATGCCGGTTCAACGTAATGACTACAGTCAGAAGGTTGTATTGTAGTCACACACAGTATACTGTATGCACTATATACGATGGAAGTGCTTGATGGAACGATTCAATTAGACATTTCTTCGAACGTTACTCTTCAACAACACTTCAGCATTAACAAACTAGGAATAGCGTCTATATCTACAGCATTTTTCTAATCATAATTAGGTAAGACGCATAAACCGTTTTTGTCGAGTAGAGCAGTCTTGATACTTTATGAGTTTAATTGTATTTGATCCAATTGCAAATACCTAAGGAAATGCCGTAACGAACAGCTGGCAATGACTTGCAATAACTACGGCAATGGCGAGATCCTATCTCATATACGGCGATATGTTCATACATAAAACATAATCGCAGATCTAGGTAGCTAGGATTTTAAGAATTGCTGCATGTGGAATAATCATTCCCGCAGTAGAATAGTAGTTACAAGACTGGCTATACGTATCATTATGCTGTATGATTCATTCAAATTTCCAACGCTGCTATCATCAAAATCCACTTGTTCAGAGTCCAAATCTACTGTACGTTAGCGTCAAGCTTCAGTTTTCTCTGGAGCCGTACTCAAGTACTCAATTACTATCGATACAGCCAGTATAATCGATTCCAACCGCTTGTTTGTCATATTAAAAAATAGTAGACAGATACTAATATCTACATGATCAATTTCTCTTCATTTATGTTCACTAATAACTGTAGTCATGACGAGTACATACTGTCCATCTACGAGTGCCGCTCTCCGATTCTACGCGTATCTCTATCGCTGTTGACGGCGTTACTTATAGTTAATGAATATCTATATCATGTTAGCTAGTAATTCAGTAGATTCATCTAAAAATTACACAATTTATATCATTCCCTATAACTATGGCAATTACCATTCTGAGAACGAATATTTGCGCCACTTGTCCTTTCTCCACCCACTGCTAAAGGAGTTACAGTCGCCGCCATGTTCTATTTGCACGAGGATACGTCTAGCACGCGATGAACAGTTCAAACAGAGCTAGAAGCAGAAGCGCGATTTCTAGTCTAAGGTCATAGCGCAGTACTATAACAGTGTGTATGGTACAGTATAGCACTGTGCTGCAGGAATTACAGTACTAAACACTAACGTCCCTACAGTACACAATGTAAAGTACTGTGGTATACGATGACATCCTTTTTAATAGATGAACATAGTACACAATACACTTCTAGCAAAAACAATGTCACAAGCTGAAGCCCTATCGACAGTGGCAAAAACCCTAGCAGCATTTGTCTGACCGAAGTGACATATGGGATTGAAAGACCATGTCTGTCTGTCTGTGTGTCGTAGTAACCAACTGACGGTCTGTTCTGGTTCTATAGTGATGCAGTAAACTGGATGCCATTTCATGCAGCAGCTTGTAAAGACATACCGTACTTCCACTTACGAGTAGTATAGAACAATCATCAAGCCTGGCTAAGTAACAGAATATTCTCTACATTTTTGACTATTTAATTACTCCCCAAGATTGAAATCTTACTTGAACGTACTTTATTTACCGTACAACTTTCAGTTTCTACCGTCAAGTCAAATCCTACCATATTTTCCCCCTTAGCCTAATCTTGACGTTTGCGCCATCTTCATCTGCTGTTACTAAAATGCAGCACGAAAATGAATAGAAAGCTCCATTACTATCTATAATAGCATTATCATTACTTTTATATATACAGTATATAAGATAAGAAAAAGGAGGAACGAATGTGGTTAAGATATCAATCGAAGCGAATTACTTTCAGTAGTGTAATAATCACCATCATTTTGGTTCTGTTCTGTAATTTAACTGATTCACGACAATGTAAACTAATACGATTACCAGATTCACGGATCCACGATCAAGGTAGCAGCCCTAGCTTCCGCCACAGTCTGGACCATCACGTTGTACTGGGCGAAATAGTTTCCGCTGAAGATCAGTCATTCACCTCTCTCGTTGGACGATCATGCAGTCTTCTACACGATTCAAGTTTACTACCCGATTCTCGCCTATATTTGCTACCTACGCATCAAGTAAGCCAAATGATTAATTAAACTATTACTTCGTAAATCTACAGTATACAATGCTACATATTGAACGTAGTTACTGCAAGTTTGATTAGACACTGATATTGTCTTGCTGGATGTAAAAAATGTAATTTAATAATACTAGTTGACAGTCCTACTTAAACGTTGCCTATTGTAGCCGTGCGTGCACTGCACACTAGACATCTATCGTAAATTTGTATCTTGTAAGCTAAATATTCAATTATCATCGAGACAACGTATTGATGTATAAAAACTACAGTAGGTATTTGCTTTTATACCTTTTATAATAAAAAACTAGACTAATTTGGGGGGCCGCTTTAGTGGCTCTTCACTCGATGCTTAGCCAGTAAATTCATTCACCAAACTCAAACCTTTTCACATTCCGCTTATGGTGTACCATCTAAAGTTTCCTTACTCTCATAGTTAACTTACTCTTGGTTCTGTAATGATACTTTAGGTACAAAGTACCTTTCTAATTGATGATTTAAATATCATTTATACCACAATCAAAGCCACGGAAGCTTAGTGTTATTGACTGCTGCTTTACATTCGTACGACAAACTTCAATCAATCTGTCATTTAGATCATCGAAATAGCGGTACACTTCGTTCATGCATTCATGAGATTTAAGTTGGCAAAGCTGTATAAGTAAATCGCCATTAATAGATACCGTAAGGTTTAGCCTTGGATTACTCAATTCCAGAACTGAGTAGTCTATGGATAACCATCCTAAGGCGTTCAGCTTATTTGTACGTATAAACAGACAGTAACGCATAATAACGTTGAAAATATTACCACTGCTTCATACTACTATTCATAAATATCTCAAATCTAGTAGCACAGCTTTATAATTACGTACAATACAATATATGACTACAACAAATACTTCAAAACCCTAACAAAAGACTTATCATACAACAAAAAAGCTTTCGCAAACACACGGTAAAATGTTAATTAAAAAAAATATCCCGATTTTCGATGATTTGCGCTTACATTAGAATTGTTGATGCTAATATTATTCTTATAGTTATAAGCAGCAGTAGACATGATAGAATCTATTGCAATACTTGAAATATAAGTAAAACCATACACCAATGATATAATTGTGAGTTGTAAGCCATAACTTGTAATTCTCTAACCCTATCTGGCGTACAAATCGTAACTTCAATAGTCAGTTATTACACGATAATTTCGTAATATACTGTACAGTACAGTACTGTAGGGCTATCATATAATATACGAATAATATCTGGTAGTAACTTAGAAATTTGGGCTGTAGCCGTAGTATTATAGATCTTCAAGAATTGATATCTTAATTTAATTTTTCTATATACCACTACGTATTTCTAATGTATCATGATATGTATATTTCTTCCTTTAAGCGATTATATCTGGCGGTCGCGCAGTATTCCAATCCGAAGACAATAGAAAAGCTTGCTACCTTAGTGCATAAGACACAACTACGTTGCGGTCGCTTCTATTATTGCAACATTAATGTAATCAAAGAATACCAAGGTAAACATACAGTATACGGGTATTGAATATCTTATCACACGCATATATACTTATTGTCATTATTAGAAGCTTAGAAAGACAAAACAGTAAAGTATATGCAGTCCAGCCTTCAGTCTATGAGCTTTAAATTCGTATTGTAAAGTTTCGTACACCCTGCAGTAGATATTGTGAAGTCAGATTAATTACAAAGTTCAACAATATTTGATTGCTAAGGACTAATGTTGTTACTGCAGCATTATACGATATCGTAGTGTTATAAATTCATTAAACTATGTTGTACTATGAAAGCGGTAATCATATTAAACACCAGCCTCGTCTACACATTCATCAGCAGACAATGGTCACATGCTAGCAAAAAGAAGTATCCACGCCTTAATGGGAGATGATGATCATCCATATGGTTTATTTAATAGCTACTGGACAATAATTGCAACCAGTATCATGGTAATGATTGTTACTATCGTTGTTGGATTCCTATGTGCCCGTAACACCAGTAAATCTCAAGATTCTCAATTGTCACCAAGGTAAGCATTATTGGAAGGTAATGTATACATGATTTTTTTGAATAATTTATAAGTAAAATCTTAAAGTAACGATATTTTTAATTTGTATTACGTACAATTAAACAAATTGTCAAATTAGAATATACAAGCTAAGATGTATTATATCTTCTAACGCACTCATTCGTATATGTATACCTATGTAACAGCGACAAGGACGTGGAAAAAACTACAGCAAGTGATACTAGCAGAAAGGTGTGTACTGTTTACTACAAAGAATTACCACAAATAACTGTATTACCTTAGCTAACATTCCTGAATATATAATATTCGCTAAGCTATTTATAAAATATTCCTACATTTAGCAACCCGAAAGCAGTAATGACAAAACTACAAAGTCCACGGTTACTAGTGATTCCATTCCACCTCAAGTATCAAAACCTAGTTCAAGTTCACAAAGTAGGCCAAAATTGAAATCAAAGTCGAATGCACCAGGTTTACTAGCCTCGCGCTATTTCATTGTTTCATTCTATAGTCATGCCTGCTCAGAGTAATTTTATAACTTTTTGAACAGTTTTAGAATCTGATAGAGCAACAGCCACTGCTGCAGTTGACTCACCGCCAGCTATGACGAGCAATCAGAAAGAAGCCAATAATTCCGATAAGTCATCAGTATTGAAAGAAACAGATATTCTGGATGATGACTATCCTACTCAGTCCCCGGCCTCCAATTCTGATCAAGAAACAACAATTTCTGTGTCAACTCAAGACAAAACCAACTCTATAGAATCTCCTTACGCAAACGTCAGCTCCACAATGTCAAGTAAGGATTCTGTGGAAAAAACTACCGAAGCCTCAGAAAATGCCAACAGTAGCGACGAAAAAACTCCGAAAAATTATCCAGTGATTCCAGTGTTAAAAATTCAATAACGATTACTGCACCTCGCGTTTATGAAGAACTGCAGTTCAAAGATGCTACCCCTAGTGAAAATACTAGTACCGTTACTAACCCTGTTGCGAAGCCAAATCGATCAGCACCTATTACCGGAAAACAACCCGTAAATAACTCTAGTATAGCGAACAGAAAGCTACCCGATATTCCTCGTATTAAAAATCCAGATGTTATATATGCTCAAATAATTAAGACGCGTCCGATATCGATCGACTGTTCGACTACCAGCGTAAGCAAACTAATGGAAGAATCTAGTACATACAGAGGAAGAGTTGGTCGCTCCAAGACTTTGAATCCAAGGTCGGTTTCTTCTCCGTATCCTCCAAGATCGCCCTGGGCAGAAGATGATTTAGCACTAAGTCAGAGTATCCAGAGCAAAACACTAGAAAATAAATTAGCGCCTGGTGCTTCTCCTCTTACAGACAACCCTGAGAACTCAGCTACCACAGCTACTGCCAAAAAAATATCCTATTCTTTGAAAGATATCGATAGCAGTGGATATGCTATAATAAAAAAGAAGATTTCGTCATTAGTAACTATGCCAGCAAATATCACCAATGACGATTTAGAGAATAATGTAGTAAAGGTAGAGGATATAGAAACTTTTGGAATGGGTAGTAAGGAAGAAGAACCGTATGAAGATGTCGATAAATTACTATCAATTAAACAAATAGAAGTGATTCAGGACAAATCAAATGACGACATTGCATCTAATTAAATTAAATTAATTGATTTTTAGAGATTTTGTTTCAACATTTACATGTCACATTTGCCGCGGTTAAAATAAGTATTATTTAAAGGATGCAATATTTGTTTGAAATCATTGACTTGAAGATTATATTAATTGATTCATTACACTTTCTCAAATACTGGCTACTTTACCGCGATCTGATGATACCTACTAATTAATAATAATTTTTAAAAAATTGATAGTATTTCTATCTGGTAAGAAAATGTTATTCGATAATAATGATACCTGCTTTATGATCGAGCAGCGATATATCAATTACTATGCCTTCGATTTAATATGTAATTACTTTTACCTTTGAATTGTGATGTTTCTTTTTACTGAAGCTAAAAGATATTTATATACTAATACAGATTTATTTAGTGATATATTGCGTGTAAAATGTTGTTCTGAATCATTAATTAACCATCATAGGCTTGACTGTTTACTGCTTACCGCTATAATTTATATATAATCAAATCAATTGAATGGTGTATTATGATTCCGTGAATGAATACCAACCTCATCAATCACCTCAGCATCCTATGCCCTTTATAATGATGAGGATGGAGATACCATATTCAAGTAAAAACCCATGTTTCAAGTTGTTTAAATTTAATAGGTAAAATCACTCGTGTCAATGGCAATACTTTATGTATGACGTTGTGCGTATCAAGTAGCGCAATTGTAATCGGAAAATATGTGTAAGATGTCATTTATAGATTTTATAGCGTTGGACAGTATTAGTATTTTTCATATTCCAGGATTTATTATTGCGACTTTATACGTAATCAATATCAACTCAAAAAAAGTAATATTGGATAATCGCGGTATCAAATACAGTATAATTTGATGGAATATTGTCTAATCTTTTGTTGTTTTTATTCTTTACGCATCTATCTATAATAATTTATGTATAGTAATAATATTGCAATGTGATCTTTTGAAATATATAATATCGATGTATGAATGATGTAGCTGAGAAAATTGCCAGGTAATGATGAACTCATATTGGTCTACTTTGGTACATCAACTCAGGCGAAATCCTACCTGAACAAGACCTACAGACAGCATAGAAATGTCAATTTCAATTTTTTTTTTCACTTTTCGTAATTATTACACATTTTAGACCGCTGCTATTACAGTCGAAATTTCAAATCTAAACTGGGATAGTATGCTTTAATTGCTTCTAATAAAGCCGATTTTGTAAAAAAGAAATGAAAAACAAACTGTACTCTGATTCAGGATAGACGGACCTTAGACCCCATTCAAGGACCATTTATCGTTTTAAATAACGTCATCATGAGTTGAAGTTCTACTCATAACAGACCGTGATCATGTGATATAAATTGTACAGTACGATTGCGTGTGCGCTGTGCTGTAAAACAGCATTGTACAAGAATACTGGCGTGTACCAGTGTTGCGCGTAGTCATGGACGACTAGATGGTATTCTTCTAGTAGTCCTTGGCGTAGTACACGTACAGACTACAGACTGAGTTGTGCCCTTTCGTTCGATTCGGAGACGCACTGTGGTCGCACTAGTTCAGAACTACACTGGGACCGGCGGTTCGGTTCTTTATCCTCCATAAACGGTTGGAATCGAAACCGTCCATTTCGTTTGGTTCAGAACCTGAACGATCTAAACCGGACTTAGATCCGACTGTGAACCGATATAGAACTTGATACAAAATGTACAGTATAGTAAGTACAGTAAAAACGAGTAAAAACTTACTATTGTTATCATTTGGTCTCAACTAGTCTCAACGATGATTGTATGTACTGTACTGTACAAGTGTACAGTGGAGTAGAACGTTTCCAAAACGTTTTCTATTCGATGTACAGTACAGTACAGTACTTAATACTGTACAGATTGGTTTTTCTTTGTCTCACTCAGACAAAAACAAACAGCATTTAAACCAGGTGGCGCTTTTACAGAGCGGCACTTCTCAGGAAATGTTCCATACTGTACAGTATTTGTACTGTAGTCTACCGTAGTGTCAAAATACTGTACAGCAAGGTATGAAGCTAAAATGAGGGTGAATCCCACGCGTGACATGTTTTGGACCAGACGCCACCTTAGACTTTACTGTACAGTACAGTACATGTACTGTATAGTACAGTACAATAACTTGCAAGTCCAGACTGTACCTGGCAACTCTATACAATACAGTATGCAGCCCGTGCGTTAGACTCCAACTCCAATCCAAGCTAAAAACAGCGCGAGTAGCACTGTATTTAATTGGAGTGGCACGCTTGCCTGGCGACGTTGAGTTATCCTTCTTTGCCTTATTGCTCATTGAAGAAAATTGGAAGCTTCTTGTAGCTGCTACAGGTAAAAGATTAACACTATGCTCGGCAGTACATGCTAAAATTGAAGAAGAATTTCTTCTTTACGCATCGTAACCTGTCTTCAAGGTCGTATTACTGGACGACAGTTTGCTCGTGCTTGCAGTTGGCTTTCTTGGCCCAAAAATGATGCTAGTGGACATGGATCGTGATCGGTGTCCGCTGTGCTTGTCGAAAGGTAAAACGAGACATCTGCAATGGCAATCTCTTGACTTGGAAAGAAAGATATTACTTTGCCAATCGACTGAGGTTAGTATCATTGGACATTGTGTCCAATAGGCTCGTCTTCATTAGCTGATTACCTACCATTCGTTATCCGCGTGCGTTGACAGTAATACGTGTAAGAATGGAGGAGATACTACGTCAGCAGTCCGACCAGTTCCTCCAGTCGAAAACATAGTACTGATTTTATACCATAATTTCCATACTACAACCAACGTTGATGCCGTATCACACTGACTAAATTCGCTCAATGACTGATTATAAAGCACAGTTTTGACATACTGTATAAGCAAAATACACTTTAGATAGACAACGCTGCGTATCTTTCTTTAAAAAAGCAGTATATTAATTACTGAGTGAAAATCATTTCATAGAAATTCATCAGCAAGGTGCATATTAGATGCTGCCATTTTACCCTATACTAAAATTTTAGAATGCTATAATGGTAAAATGAGACAGTGATATACTGTATGCTTGTATCTTATTGTAGGCTTCCGAAAAGCTGAACACTTGTAGACTAGACATAACACTGTACATGTTGATAAATTATAGTGCGCAATATGGACTGGCATAGTAAACACAGAGTAATCCTGATCTGATTGACATGGTGTATTATTGACTGTATTAATCCTTCGAAATACATTAGTAACGCTGCCAGACGATAGCGTATCCTAGGGCAGTGCTATAATTAAGTTATTTAACTGCTGCTCGGTCTGCTATAGCACGGCATCACTATGATTATTAAACATTGAATTAGTAATACTGTAGTAGTCCCTCCAATGATCGTAGCATAACCTGAAACAGCATCGTTACTTGCAACTTATGCCTAGAATGATGATCTACATTACGCTGTACATTTACGGTTTTGACCCTTTTTTTTCGCAGAATACCTGTGTATCAAATAGGAATAACAATATTTACCTGCGTAGAACATTTCACCCTTGATAATATAATAGATACGCTTTGTCATCCATCGATAATTATAATTATTAACATATACCTATGTAAATTGGCCTGATCTGCACGATTTACTAGTAATTAATACGAACTACACATTTTTCATTAACAGATAACAGTGATAACTTAACTAACTTATTTTATGCTTCTTCAGTGCACATTTCCTTTCGGAACGAAATTTTTTGACCGATGTCTAGCACATAAAACGGAAAATTGCCAGGTAAATACTTCGTACGCCTCCATAAGATCCCGTTAGATGGGAGAAATTGAACACACAACCCAGAATCTTACTTTTAAGGGTATATAGTAATACTTGTAATTTTAACATATTGCCTTTTATGCATTTTTTCTTTCAAGATTAATACTATGCAATGGCACGAAAAAGAAGATTCGAGTACATTTGTGTCTGACAATACAAAATTAGCTATTTACGCGACCGAGAGTACTTTGTCAGATATAGAAAAAAAGAAACCTTCTAAAACTTTGTCCACAGAAGAATCAAATATAGCTAATATAGCGACTAAAAATCATGCTACTTCGAGATTGGAAACTACAGTAGACAAAGATTCCTGCCAGGATATTATCAAATCTAGTAACAGGGAAGAAAGCGTAAACGGTCATTATAGTTCTACATCAATAGATTGCTCCTCCTACGATAATTTGAATGGCTATCCTGAAATTTCTGATCTAGATAAACTCGTTAATACTGATGAACCACAAAAGGAAAAGGATGATGTTTGTCGAAACGTCAGCTATAACAAAGATACATTTTTATCGTATGGTCTACATATAATGCAGAATCGAGGCCATACAAATAACCAGCCTAACTATCAGGATGTTATTTATGATCGTAATTTCATTAACCAAAACTACAAATCAAATAACTTAACTGGCCTATCTAAAGACGTAAAGAATGATATGGAACATCAAGATTATCAAAAAGATAACAAGATAGCCACAGTAATCGAAACCAATAAAAGGAAGTTACCAAAAGCTCCTATTAGCACTATTAGATATAAGCCGTACGTTGCTGGAATACCGGATCAACTAAACAAGAAATCATGCACAGATAGTAGCACTGGTAAAAAAGGCCCGTCTCTATTAAGAATTTTAGACCGCAATCCTTTAGCACGCATGTCACGAGAAAATATACCCGTTACAGATCTACCTGCGAAAATGTTAGATGAAATACTTAAAGAAAAGTCTACACAAGGACGGATTGCACAAGATACAGTGAACCCGACTTTAATGTGTAAATCATCTGACTGTGATGAAAACGCAAGTGATAATAATTTAATTACCCATGCAAGATGTGATACAGACGATACGACTTACAGTACTAGCCAGGTCAGCCCCGCAGATAGTGGATTTTCAAGTTTGCCAGATTCACTAGCAAATACGCCTGCTGTCAGCAACCATGGCAATAGTATCATGACCGCTAATACTCAATTTTTAGAAGAATTGGATGCTCTAATGCCTGATATTACTGAAGATGTCCCGTTTATTTCTACGTAGAATTGTTTATTTTTCATTTGTACAATATAGTAGGATCGTTCATGCAGGCATATTACAAGTACTATGTAATACCTTTACAACATAGAAAATTTACAGCTTTCAGTAATCTGATGCAACATTTTTGTCGGATTATTATTAAAGTTATTGTATATATATATATATATATGTACATGTTTTACTACTGCTCGAAGCGACGCTGTTGACACACTCAAGCTACTGATCATAGAATCATTTGTATCTTGGTCCGAGTGATAAGATATTCGCTGTTTTTTTATTATTTATTTATTAGTATTAAATGCAGACAAGTTCAATAGCTTGTGTTGTCGCAGGAAGCTGTTAACTAGACATTTGCAATTATTTGAATGGTTCTATTTCAAAAATCTTAGGAGATAAATTGGTTAGCCCTCCTAGGATGATAACAAGATTGATTTATATACGTATTTATTTTTCGTTAGTACAATGCGCCTATAAGAATTCTGTAGGTTACCCTTATCCTATTGTTTAAATGTCAATCCCGCAGCACCAGAGTTATACCGAGTTATTATAGATGCGGTACTGTATAATGACTTAATGTCCTCAGTTGATGTTCGTATATGGACAAGACATGCATTGAGATGAAGTTTTTTCATATGGTTACGGTAGTGAAATTGCCAACCTTGTCAATTTGATCATATTATATATGTTAACTGGTTAAATAGTTACGTTACAAATCGAATGGACATTTATCAGCTTGGCATTAATATACTGTAAAAACAGATGTAACTGCATTTATTTTATAATTGTGCAAACAAGTAATTTCATAACTTTATAATAAATTGTTTGTATAATTTTTAAATTAAAAAAATTTGTAAATAATGTACGTAGGTATAGTAAGTGAGTGAGATCAACTCTATTGTTACAGTACATTTTATCTTGGAATGAAGACAATTTCCATCTTTGAATTACCCAAAATGCCGTCTGTAATGCATCATTATGGCAAAACAGTTCTAACTGTGGTACATACAGTAGCTATTCAGTATAACTTTGTACATGGTAGAAGAACAGTTGCTGATTGTAACTCATCTTACAAGGAGATACAGTTCTAACTACGGTACATACAGTAGTTAATTATTGTAAGTTTATGCAATTAATATTAATACTATCTCCATGGTGGTCGAACAGTTGCTGATTGTGGTCTTCTAGCTGATGAAACTCCATACGTCGCAGTACGCGTGCTGCTTCTGGAATAGGAAAATGAACCTGAGACAGAATCCGGTCTGCGCGCATCGCGAGATGACCTAGATCCTTCAATTCGTATATTTGACGGATCAGGATCCCATAGTAAGGGCTTCATATATTTGCCTTTTTCTTTTTTGCCCCACGGAGGTAATTCTCTCATGGACTGTTCTTGTGCAATCAGCGGATCACCAAATAAGGAATCATCAGTAAATGATGATTTAAACACTTGTTTACGATACGGTCGTTTTAAGTTTCGACTATCTGGCCTTACTCTTTCGCGATCTGATTTCTTATCATTTCCGGCCTTGCCTTTATTCCAAGCAAGCGAATTGGCTGCAAGTTCTCGATTTGAATTGTTTTTAATCCAAGGTGGATCAAACTTAACTTCATGAAAACTGACACTCTTATTTGCTGAATCGAAGAGGCTTTCATCCACGTACGAGCTCCTACTCTTATAGATATTCCTGCGTTTATTATTACCGCTTCTTCTAGCAATAGAATCGGACATCATTGCTATTTTCCTATTCGAATTTAATAAATATCACATCATATTAAATATTGTTATGGTATATATACTGTGCATTAAGAAGTAGCGCTATATAGAGTAAAGCAACGAAAGTACAGGAAGGGCAGAAATAACGTGCTATCGAACAAACGAGCAAACGAGTAAACTGTATTATACCTGTATACTGGTGGTTATGTTAATACATTTCCCGATTGAAAGTTTATCAATAACTTTTTGATCAGTCTATACGACCAATCTAGTATATACGTACATTATTTACGAGTACACTAATATTCAGGAGATATCAAGCATTATTTTTGATACTAGTATGGAATTATGCAATATACAATACTTATAATTTTAACTACACTTCGCTTTCTTCTACTCATTTGCCGATACGGTATGGCATCATTTTGCAGTATCATCATAAGTTATGAAATGAAATTCTGATATTCTAAATGCATATACGCGTATATTTAATCATGAAACTTACGTAGAGTTATTAACATTGCGTATCCTCACAGCGAATCAAGGAGCAAAATTCTTAAGTTATGGTATTTACTCGTACACTATTTGAACTATTTTTATTGACTGTAAAATATGTCCAAATTATTGATTGATATGGCCAACAAGACGTGCTTGCCTTGTAAGGAATGGAATATGTTATTCGAAATATGAACTCAATATTATTTCGAATGGTTTATACCTTTTACGGTTATAAATACTGTAAGTCATATGAAATGAAATTGAAAATTAGTAATATTTATATAGAGATTGAACTCATGCTTTAAACGCTATTAAAACTATTTCAAAGCAATTTTTTATTAAATGAAATTTTGAAATGGTTGCTTAGTGATACGTAACTGGATGCCATACTGATACTCGTACAGTACTACGTAGTCCATACTACTGTACATAGTTTAGCTTTGTGAATGAATTTGTTTCTGTCAATGCGGTACAGTACTGTACTAGTACAGAGTACAGTACACAGTACTGTATTGCAGAGTGTACAGTACTGTGTACTGTAGTCAATGGAGCTAGGATACTGTCAGTGACAGACCATGCGCAAATCCAGAATTTTATCAACTTTGTACATAAGCTATACAGTACAGTGCAGTAAAAGCTATTGACCTAATGATTGTTGTTCATAGCCCCAGACTTTTAACCTGCAAATATTTTTTTGTTTATTTCTTTTAATACTTCAAATATCAATTAAGCAATTCATTGAATGCACTGTATTGGTCATATACTGTAGGTATTACATAGAGCTTCAAGATATAGCCGTTCATACCGAATTGTATTAAACTGCAGCCCCTGATATTATCCTGGAAGAGTTCACAACTATATAAGTACATTATCAAATTCAAGAATGACACAGTCTGTTGTGGTGCAAGGTAATCTACTACTTATGCATGACATTAGAAGAAAAGCACTAGTTGCTGATCTTGATCCTGTTAAAGTTTGTTCAAAAATATGGCCAAAATATTTAGTACAGTAGACTTGTACATCTGCATTATAGATCATGATCGAGCACATCGAGTGATTACTTATGATATCAACTACAAGCATGCACACTTGTATAGTAAATGCTCATTTGCAGCAGAAATTCGCGTCCGCTTTGCAGATTTACAAACTATCAATTTTAAGCTAATTACTAAGTTTATTGCATATATAAATTAAATCTAATCACCATTTATTTTGCATAAGTTTGGCTCTTAACACTGCCTGATATTTATTTTTATATATGTATCTTTATTGTAATGCGAAATGATTCTTTCGCTGCTCAACTCTTACATACACGGTTACTGACGTCCTAAAAGTCGGGCAATGCGGTAATCAGGTAAGCTTACAATTCTTATAATTAATAATAATAATTAATGTACTATACGAGTAGATTGTACAGTATTGACCAAAATTTGCAAAATCAGCAATGTTGTAAGTAAAAAGTAATGTTGTCGTCCGCATCTATGCTGTATGAAGATTGAATTTATGACTATAACAATATCTAGATTAGCGTTGAGTTAAATCGTGTGGAGCATACGCGTAAATCAGTAAACACGTATGATTTGCTATCACTATTTTCGATTGATTTGCATGTAACACTTTATTTTTAAAAGATTGGCTGTAGATTTTGGGATTTAGCTCTAAGGGAACATGCTGCCATCAATAAGGTTAGCAACACATTAATTACTTATTTTACTTACTGTAGAATTTGGCATACGCATTTTATGTGTATGCAATGATACGTATGCGATTGAACAAGCCATTCAAAATTTATAGAACTATAATATCCTAATGAATCTTTTTACTTAACATAAATTATGCTACTGAAGGAAGGATTCTTCGATGAACCTTACAGCAGCTTCTTTCGTAACGTAGATAACAGGTTGATAAACTATCATACTAATTAATTCTCAACTTAACCGATCTTCAACTGTTAAGCAACTTACCTGAATGAATCATAATAAATCATCACCTATATTACTGTATAAGGTATGAAGACCCTCTCGATGTTGAGGTCGGTAACGGCAGGACAAAAATTAAAACGCTAAAAGCCAGAGTAAGCTATTGCTTAGACAATCCATCATCTAGCATAAAATCCATTTATCTACTGGACTTTCCCAAAAATTAACTTGAAATGATAATTCGGTATTGTAGGCAGTTTTGGTCGATATGGAAGAAGGCGTAGTTAATGAATTACTAAATAGTCCGCTAAGAGATATCTTCGATCATAAGCAGTTAATAACTGATGTTTCCGGATCTGGAAACAACTGGTAGGATATAGTTGATTGAAATTTTTACGCCATGTTTTACCTCGCTTACAACAATCACACGAAATTGTAATATAGCACCTTACATTCTGCTAATCTCTTGCTTACTTATAGGTCTATCGGCCACCTCTTCTACGGTAATCAATATCGAGATAAATTAGTTGAAGTTCTTAGAAGGGCAGCAGAAAAATGTGACTGTTTGCAGACGTTTTTTATGATCCATTCGATGGGAGGGGGTATAGTTATGCAACATACTACAATCGTTTAAAATTTAGGTCAAGTTTCAGCTATAATAATTATCGATGCTTTCTCAAATATTTATTTAAGGAACTGGATCTGGAGTTGGTACAGCAATATTAAATATTCTTCAAGATGATTACCCAAACGTATATCGGTAGTGCAAATGTTATCATATTTATCGTATGCATTAAATATCTTTCCCATTTTATATTGTTCAACAGACTGAATATAATCCATGCCGTAACATAATTTTGGTGCTGATCTTGAGATATTTGTTAATTTTTAGTTTCGTGACAGCAGTATACCCTTCTATCGAAGATGATGTTATAACTTCTCCTTACAATAGCATCTTAGCTATGAAGGAGTTAACAGACAATGCAGATTGTGTAATGCCAATAGATAACCAGGTCTGCCTTATTTAAGAATTATCTAACTTTAATCTTTAATCTAATAGCCTATTTCATGTCTTGCAGTCATTAATAGATATTTGCAATAGAATTAGTAACGTAACTGCTACAGCTAGTAGAGGGATAAGTAAAAAGCAAATTAAATCCGAAAGCACTATTACTAATAGCCATGGAGGAAAAACCAAAAGTTCACAAGCACGCCCTTTTGATGGCATGAATAATATCGTAGCTAATTTACTACTAAATATGACAAGGTAAGATAATGTAGCTGACATGATCATTAACATAACAGTACTGGCATTGCTCATTGTATTTGCCTTTATAATCACATCAGTTCTTCAAGGTTTGAAGGTTCTTTAAATGTCGATTTAAACGAAATTACTATGAACTTGGTCCCGTTTCCACGTTTACATTATTTGATTTCCAGCATGACCCCTCTGTATGCTTTAGCCGATGTAAATTTATCAACTCGAAGGTACTCCTGCGGAAATCATTTGCTTTTCACGAGTATACACAGTATAATTGATCATACTCATACTGCTCCTTTACATAATTCTGTATTACAGACTTGATGAAATGTTCTCTGACGCATTCTCAAAAGACTATCAGTTGATAAAAGCCGACCCAAAACGCAATCTGTAAACCTTTTTTGTTCTCCTCCTAAATCTTAATCTGCACTGATATCATCAAAATCCCTTCTTACTAACATTCATCATATTAATAAAATTAGATACTTGTCTTGTGCCCTTCTAGTCCGTGGAAAAGTGGAAATATCAGATATAAGGCGGAATATTAAGAGGTAAACAGTAAATCTTTTATCTATGCACCCGTCAGTACAGTATTGTCTTTTATGACATTGTAATAATCTTCAATTGACTAGATAATTCTCCTTATTTTCATTATATATAATCGATAGGATTAGACCTTCTCTTAATTTTATTCACTGGAACGAAGATGGGTGGAAAACTGGACTATGCTCAGTTCCTCCGGTCGGTCATGTAAGTATCATTGGTAAATTATATAATTATCAATCAGGATCATTTGGATCTTTCACAAAAACACTAATACTTTTGCTTTTATATTAGCCTTATTCTCTCTTAACATTATCAAATAATACGTGTATCAAAGACACGTTCTCTGATATTCAACATAGATTTGTGAAATTGTATAAACGCAAGGTATTGTCCTTGAAAGCTTCATCGATTGCTATTTGTCAGTCTAACTCGCTAGTAGTGTAGCGTCATGCTATAATACATGTACGTTAATCTTGTAAATCATATTCGAAATTTGCAGGCGCATCTTCATCATTATCTAGAGGTCGATGGAATGGAAATGGCTACGTTTGATAATAGCATAGAATCTCTAAATTCGCTGTTAGATGAGTACAAATTATTGGACCAAACTACTCGAGAATTAGTAGCTTCACCGCCTCGGTTAAAGGTTGTATGACCAACACTTTGAAATATAGGTATACAGCTGATTATTGTGTATATTATTAGATACAATATCTTCGCACATGATAAAAATGAACATGTAGCTGTAGATTACGTAAAAGTTTTGTCATGTTTTTATACGTCGTTGTTAAAGATTTGCTGTAACATGCGAAAATTTTACTGCGCCTTTATTGTATACTAATTATTTATATATGCATAAATATCGAAATGAGCTCTTAATAAAATCAGGTATGTTATCCTTTCAGCTAGATTTTAAATATCTAACATTGCCTCTTAGCATACGAGTACTATGTAGGCTGAAACTAATTTCAATGTATGATCCCTACATTACCCGATTGGCATGGCTGCAAGTAGTCTACCATAACACTACAGTATCATTATATACTCTATACCCCACCCCCTCACACTGATAGCTAGTTCACAGTCAACCAGCACGAAATAAAAATGTCATTTCACCAATTTGCTGAAATTTAATAATTGTACATTTGTAATTTGTGCGTCTACCTGACTCTGAAATTCGAACCAAAATCCTAGAATACCTTATTTGTATGTACGTACAAATGCCCGTGAGGTAACGAGTCCATATTAAAGCTTTATCATTTTACCAGATATCTATTAATTTCTACAGCTGATAAAATAGATTGCCTTTTTGCATGCAAAATTCAACACTTATTATATGTATAAAAGTAAAGTAATGCTTATTTTGTAGTTTGCAGCTTTAGCAATTGCGTTTAAATCTTAGTATCCATTGCTGCTAATAAATCTTAAAATCTGCAATAGTTTAATGTGCAATGCCAAGACGAGAGGGTTTAGTCCAACAGCTCTAATAATGCAAACTAAGCTATGCAGCATTCTTTAGAGAATCGTTTTTAAAATTAATATTCCAAGACCAAAGTAGCGCAATCTTAGATCCGTCCATGTAACAAATGATTTTACCCAATAGCCAAAGAGTGGGATTGCAAAAGTTGAAACAATACTTTAAGGGTAAACAACTTTTTACCGTATAATAAACGTAATGATAGTATGATACAGTAAATGTAACTATATGATAGAAATTCTCGTTGAATTATGCTTGGCATAGGTACAAAAAAAACTAGTAGAGCCATTTCAAAATGTCATGCCCAATTCAATGCATATTTATTACATCGCAACCGGAGATACAACGTTATATATCATACAATACAAAACTTAAGTAACTTGAATTATTTCTTTTCTTGCTCAGCGGTCGGTACTGATCGGATAATGTCAGAGTCGCCGGGATCGGTAATACTCATCGTACTAACTCTAAAGTACTTTCCACAAGCGGTACCAAGTTCATTGTTGTCTCCACCATAATGATGTACACCAGTCCTTGCCAACATAGCGTAGTATTCAATCTCGCTTTTCCTAAAAGTTATAATTTAGCTCAGTTTACTCCATCTTTGCAATTCATTGTAATAAAAGTGAAGAGATTATAAATTATAACATCATGGTTAAGATCGATTAATAATTTGATCATTCATCCATGCATAACGTTAAATATGGTCATGGACTACTAGAAGAACTGCTGGTAGTCTATGATACAGTACATTATACAAGATCCAAAACTGTTTGGTATCAAGCTAAGAAAAAGTGATGACCAAGATAACAGTCACTATCTAGTATCACATAGCATCTTACCGAATAGGCTGAGTATTATTCGCAATAAGGACTAATTTAGCTTTCCCTTGGCGAATACTCTTCAACGTTGATTTATATCCAAGAGAAGTCTTACCACTCTTCATAACCAAAGCTAATCTTTGATTGATATTTTCGACATTCTTCTTCTACAGTATCAAAATGTTTAGTTGTCATCAGTTTCAAATCAGTCTCACTTTGATTATAGTCAACTCTACTGTCCTATCTCTCTTAAGGTTAACACAAGCTGAGTATAAAAAAAGATACACGAATATCAACTGTATAACCAATCTACTCTAGGCAAAAGGAATTCACGCCTTGGCTAAGACTGGTACGTTCTGTATAAGTGTATGGATAAAATCTTTTTCATTAAAATACAGTATGCTGTAGTAATCATATTGCATTATACTTAATCTATAATATCTTTTATCAATGAACAAATAAAAATGTCATGTAGTTATGGCTAAACACTCTGGTTGTAATAGACATCCATCTCCAACTAGAAATCAAATCAATTTTGCTACACTACCGATCACTGCCTTTCTATTTCTACACTACACAACGCAGTGGTCAACTAGAGTATCCACCACAGTAGACTCGTGCAGTCTTTCAAGTGCAATTAAAAAGTACCTGCTTTTTCGCTGAAACCATTTTAGCTTCTGTATCCATAACATAGAAAAGAAATAGAAAATATTCCATTAAATAAAGATCAGTATGTTGATGAAGATAATTTGTAACATGATTAATTTTTACCTAAACTTGAGGCTTGCAATGTTGTAGAATAATGGTGGCAAAATCCGTCGCTGGCGTGAAGCACGTTGGAAAGGGCTTTTTACCCACAAGGCCGTGGCCTATACAGCATTGCAAAGCACGTGACTGAATGCTGTTGCGCTTGCGCATGCCACGAAATTGACTTTAAGGTATGGAAAAACTAGCGAAGTAAAAGAAAAAGTATGGATAAAAGTGTATTGTACGATACACTGTACAGAGGGGGGAAAAATAGCGTTAGTACTGTGTTATTGCGTAAAATAGAATTCAGACTGACTGACTGACGAAATACCTTATGCAGAGATCGATCAGTCTTTCCATCCATAGTCTTCAAATGTAAATCTGGTCTGCTTTGCGTTTTGGATGGAATTCAATCGCTGTACGTACTAGTACAGTGTATGGAATTTTCTTTCAGTACAGTACAACACCATAGACTTTTCAATTTTCCCTGGAAAAATGTACAAATCTATGACTGTACTGTAGTCCATGTTAAGTACTATAGATTCTATAGAGGTAAGAATGTGTTAAATCCCTTTGAAAATATTCTATACGGAGTCATAGACCAGACTGATTTTTGTCGTTGTTGGCTTGTGCACTATGTACTGTACACTGTACACTGTACAGTACAGTACAGTACAGTACTATTACTCGTCTTAGAAGTCTCTGACTGTACACTGTACACTGTAGAGTATACTGTACTGTACTGTACAGTACACAGTAGTGGTGTCTACAGTACATACTGTTCAGTTACTCGTCTTAGAAGTCTCTGACTGTACACTGTACACTGTAGAGCGTACAGTGTACAGTACTGTACACTACACTAGTCACTAATACAGTACTGTACAGTACAGTAGTAGTGTCTACAGTACAGTACTGTACTGTACAATACAGTTACTCGTCTTAGAAGTCTCTGACTGTACTGTACACTACAGTAGTAACTGTTAATTACCAAGTCGGGGTAAAAAAGTTGAAAGTTCACCATGCAGTCTATCGTTATCGAACTCGGAGATTCTCGAATAAAAGAGCTTCACCCTCATCTACTGTCATCTACTGTACAGTATACAGTATTACGTAATACAGTAATAGGAGAGAATTCACCCACCTGCACAATCTCCACCTACTGAAGCGTAATATGGCGACACCAGTATGAGCAGGTCAAACAATAAAACGATGTAACAAAGTGTAGCATGTAAGTGTCGCCCACAGTACAGTATACACCGCTACACCTGGCGACAGCACATTGCGCAACACCCCCATCGTTAATGAATTCATAAAGTTCACATTTTCCACTCTTAATCCCTTTCTTCAGGAAGAAAGAACTGCATCCATCAACTGTCTAAGCAAGGAAATTGTATGCCCTTCAGCGTAAGCGATCACAACTTACAATTTCAAACCTGTGCTGTCAATAGAAATACTACTGTATCATGTAACTAACGCACTAACAAGATTAGATTACATACAGCACTTGAAATAACTCGTGGAATGTAACGATCAATGCTTATCTAGTCAATACTAGACGAGTGCTGTCCATAATAAAAACTTCAACTGTTAATATACAATACTGTCCATACAACATCTTATAGATATACAGTAGATTGGAATGGCTCTTGATTCAAAATTGCAAAACTACCGGTGTACTACTGTAGATTAAATACCTACTGTACAGTATGTAAGCGTACAAAACGATTGAAATTTGGATTGAATTTTGCATAATGAATTAATAATTATTATTACTATACTGTACATACTCGTATATGAACTAACATACGCATATGATGTCTTCAGCACAAGACGTCATACAGTCAATGGACATTGTACATGCATATCAAATCTGTAGTAATGCATTAATAGATTGAAAGATTATTGTAATCAAGAGCAGTTTGAATCGACATTTCAATCACTCCCAAAGGTATCTGATCTATTCATCATTCACTATTCAATTATTATCAAACCAGACTAGTACAGTACACTCGTAGTTTTGCAGTTTTATAGTGGAGAGCAATTACAATTTACGTTTCAATCGCTGCACACTAGGTATGTAGACTGTAGCGATTGAAACGTCGATTGCAATGGATTCTGACCATAACATTGCCAAATTTCAACAGTAATACTTCGATTGAATCGATTAATACTGTACAGTGCTCATTATTGTAATATAATTAGTATTCACTAATGCATACGCCTATGATATCTTACAGAGTGCAGTGATCGAAACGTAGATTGAAATTGCTGTTGATAACAAAATTACAAGACTATTAAAGTTAAAATGTACTGGTTTGGCTACAAGACCGCTTTACCCAAACCAACAGGACCTTACAATGTTGGTACAGCTGAAATAATGTCTGGCCGAGGCGAGCAAAGTACATTGGTAAGACTGTATTATCCAACTCAGCCTAGCCAAGAATTACGAAATAGATGTCACACCTCTTCTTGGTTACCGGAACCTATCAACAATTACACAAAGGGTATTATCGATTTCTCTGAAATGCCACTTAGCTTCTTTGCAGGCTGGATACTTCGTAAGTGGAATAATTAGTTACCGATGCTGCACTATTGGATAACGAACTATTATGTACTATACACATAAACCATAGATTACCAGATAAAGACCTTCTGCATTATTTCACGTACAGTAGGCCATCCCAGTGTTACCAAATTGCTTGACAGACATCGATAGAATAGTCATATACGTACTGTTTTCTATTTCTGTACCCCTATATACAGTACTACAGCTTCAAGCGATTTCATCAACATTCTAACTAACGTAAAGTATAGAGAAGTTGTATTCTACTGGACTGTTACATTCTACCTTGATAGATTTCTCTTAAATTCATTCACTCCCGATTTTACTATTTAGTCGATATTCACTCAGTGCAGGGCTTAACTGTTACCTGTAGCAGAAGTAGAGTCATAGAATTACTTACAGTACTTCTAGATCTGTGTATCTATGGTATACGAGAGTATTATTGCCTAGCCGTTATAATAACAAAGACCATAACAAAGCTAACTTACAATAATATAATTATAAGCTATTCTGTCACATATTAAGGGTATCAATATACTCAAGGCAGGATAACCTAGTTTGCAGTTATTTCGATCGCCATAAAGGTATTTAGGTAATAGAAAATAATTTTAAATTTCCCTTTTTTTTAATATTCACAACGTACATTAATATTTAGGCAATACAGTCATACCGACTTACCAGAATGCTCCCTTAATACAACCGAAGGATTATGAGGAAACACCACAGCTCGATCTTCAAAGATTACGTGTTTTAATTTGTTCGCATGGCTTAGGTGGCAATCGGGCAATACTTAGTGTGCTATGTTGTGAATTGGCATCCTACGGTTATGTTGCGGCTTCCCTTGATCATAGGTAAGAAAGTGAATATCTTTGCCAGTATCTATACGATAAATCCCTATTGTAATTGTTAAGATCATGGACAAGTGAGGACTACTTAGCCAAGCTCAAACTCTTGACTTAAATAGATTAAGCCTTGCCTGCAAAGTTTACAAGACAAGTGATATTTCACTTACTGTATGGCACATTATAGTACATTTAGCCATATTAATTGTAAATACCTGAATCTGGTATAAAATGTATTTTTCATCAATACTTTAACCTTGGCTTGAACTAGAAATTAACAAATAATAATGCCGTATTACCGTATAAATTTCGCAATTTTAAATCGCCATTCAAACTAGATACAAACACTTAAATTTTTTTTTTAATATGCCTGTACAATATATGCCTACTTACACATCCATATTTGTTGATTATATCAAGACTGCATCAGCTAGTACAGTTTACATAGCTGTGTACAAGATACAGGCTATATTATATTATATTAATTGAATCTTTAACGTAAAGTTTTACGTTATCCCTCTGCAGAGATCTTTCTGCCTCCCACACGTACTATTATCCAGAAAAAGAAGGAACGGAGATAGCTGAGAAGGCTAAAGTCATTAATGTACCCTTCAAAAGATGTCCTATAGATGATTTCGAAACTAGAAATAAGCAGGTACTGTGCAATTTTTGCTTACTTTTAAATGAAATTATCAATTTCTAGTGTATTATATCAAAAACTCCTATTATCAATATTATTAATTTCATTGCTCGTAATAATAAATTTTAGGTAAATATAAGAGCTCAAGAAGTAAGCAATGTTATTGACTTACTGGAAAAACTGAATGCAGGGGCACCAATTACTAACCTGATAGATAGCAGTGACTTTAAGTTAGAACAATTCAAGGCACGTAATAATAGCAAGCGTACATTTTAACATATTATAAGATATTTATAATGCGAAACGGAAAACCAATAAATAATGTTGTATGTTGTCTAATGAGAATTAATTAACCAACGTAAGTGTGTTAGTCCAATGCTAATTTATCCTTTTGTTCTATGTTGTAGGAGCGTCTCAATTTATCTTCGTTAGCTGTATTCGGACATTCTTTTGGTGGAGGGACAACCATAGCCGCATTAGCTAAAGATGCAAGGCTTCAATGTGGAGTTTGCTTAGATGCCTGGCTCTTCCCACTTGGAGAAGAAGTGTATGAAAATATTAACAAACCTATTCTCTTTATCAATTCATTCGCATTTCAGTGGCCTAAAAATATCAAGCGCATACAAAGAATATTATCGGGCCACAATGGTGATTTTTACATGTTTCAAATTACACAACTTGTAAGACTGTTACTAAATTCTTCGAATGTTTTTATTTTTAGGTAAAAAATGTAATTTATTAACCCTAAAGTAAGAAAGGAATATTTTGGAAGCTATCCTTTTTGAACATTTTAATTTCTTACAGATTACTACGATATACTATAATGCAGATTGTATATAATATTTATTATTCATTTCTTTATTTCTTTCAGAAACACTGGCCACTTGACCCAGACCGATTTCGCTCATATTATCCCTAGCTTTTTTGCCAGACGTAGTTCAAGCTTTGGCACTATACCGCCATTAACGACCACCTCGGTAAACAACAAATTGTGCTTCGATTTTCTAGAAGCACAATTAGGTAAGTGTGACCTCTTACCGATAGTTTCGTCTACTTATAAACTACATTTAATCCAGTGATTTTGGCAGCAATAGGATATTAGAAATTAAAATGTAATTAGCACGTTGCATGCCTTCGTAGCGATTTAGGTACTATTTAGTTAAAGTTTTATTGTTTGATTCCTAGGCAATAAGGAAAAAAGAACTTACCCACTATCTGTAAACATGGAAGATTATGTTTTGGAAGGCACTAATGTAGATACATCGAATCTTGATGATTAATGATTATTTATTCTATGCATTAACAACTTGGGTAACTTACGCGCTTTTTATAAATATTAATTATTATAGACTGCACTATTGCAGTTAACTTAACGGATAGAGCTTTAATATTGCACTTGCAGTCAATTAATGAAGAAAGCGCTTATTTCGCTTCGTCGGTCATTTGTAAATTTAGTATCGTCGATCAGGCCCTATACTTGCATTCCACTTTAATGAAACTCATGCATTTATGAGTCTTTAAGAATTTGTCATTCAGACATATCATGTATTCTAAGACTTGGCTGCATTTTTTTTACTGCAATGACTTTATAATAACACTATAACCTGGCCTTGCTGGTTTGTTTTATATAACCGTTAAAATTGTTTGAAGGACACTGTACCTGGTCAAATGTTTTAAATACTATATTACATGGCAGGCTTAAAAAATTAGCTTTGGAAACTCTATGATATAATGTTACGTTATTAAAGACAATAGCTTAACGTGGTTTTTAGCATATAGTAAAATATGATATTAATAATAGCGATATCGTCTACTGACAGAGAATAATGTTAGCCTTTCATGTGTTCAAATAGTGTTTTCCTTATAATATATACCGTAGCATTGTTAACATAGGTTATCGCATTAGTTACCGTATATCCATGTCTGTGAATGAATGCATAGTGTCGGTACACCATACATATTATTTAAAACGCTTAGCAACTATGGACACATCTTATTATCATTACAATTTATCGGAAGTACAAAGTATAGAATCTATCGCTGAGTTTTGCTGTAAACAAAATAATAATCTAGATTACCGAGCAGTACTGAAATGCTTCTACTCAATTGATATGCGACGCTCTAGTTGTCCCTATATTATAAATTGATAAAATAATTCGCATATATTGATTAGAAACTATATTGGATAGTTTCCCTCCATACTGCGTATAAGATGCATCTCGATATGTCGTGCATGTGCAAAGCACTAACCGGAGCTGCACCATTACTTTATATATAATGTAATACAGTGTCTATCGATAGCAATTTCCTATACATAATTATTTGAGCTTCGAATATGTGTACGTATTACAGAGGTCCCAGTAAGCATATAAACATTGCTCAATATCATAAACCAGCCCTTACTAAAAAATTATATTGAAAATTAATAGTATGTATCCGTCACAAGTTTAAGAGTATACTAATTATGGCAAACTATGAAAGAGGTGAACAATATACTGCTTACTATCTAACATATCCTTACAGTATATTGTAGGTAACGCTAAGCTATCACTATTGCGCAGTGATTTTTTAAAATTATACTACTAAATACTATCTGTCATATTCTATCTCGTTTAGACATAAATAATTAAATTTTAATAATCTCATAATAATTGAATTTTACTAATTAACCATATAAGTAATTCACAATTTATATTATTAATTCTTCTATCACAGCGGCTGAAAATCATACAGATCTCTTAGAATTATGTTATTATAGTACTTACTACCGGTTGATTTGTTAGTCATTTACCCAATTTTTCATAAACAGTTATACTTAATTGACGGTATACGTTGATTGTCAACCACTCCCGTTTTGATAGTTACGGTACTGTGTAGATACTAAAGCATTTTTAAAGAATAAAAACATTTAAATTGATTGATTAGGAGTAGGACAGGCAGCATTAACTTATGGTACCATACTGTCTAGTCTCCTTTACGCGGTATAAACTATAAATGTCACGTATTATGTGCGTAAAAGTTAATTAATCTGACACGCCCAGTATATTTATTATAATATGCCTTAACATTCATACTAGTATATTAGATTGGACTGCCTACACCAACCATTAGCATTTACGGCTTGACCTTTACAGAATAAACTGCGGTAAAAAAAAACGACGATGCCTTTTAATTGTAGTACTTGGACTTTTGATTTACCAAATCCTACCGGACCTTACGATGTCGGTATTACAGAAGTAATGTGGGGTAATCGTGATGGATGTTTATTTGATATATTTTATCCAACGTTACCTAGCCATAAGTTAGATGAATACAATTATAAATCATGGCTTCCAGAGCCCCAGAAAGAATACTTTGAATCCATTGCCAAAGCACCTCTAGAGCTAAAAACGAATGCCGTAGAGGAATGGATATCAAGCATGATATTTGGTACAGACTGAGTAATCTTTCTCTATCGTAACCTTTTAACGACTAAAGCGTGTCTTTTACGATTCTGACATTATGAGTTTTGCTACAGTTCTTAAAATATCATAAATTACTGTACTCCTTTAATCGCATAAGCCTAAACAAACAGAAACAGAACTACTTGTGTACCACCTATTATGATAGAACATTTAAATTTCCCAACAAGTAACGATATGGATCGATAGAGCATTTGCAGTGCATAACTGGTGTTATCAAGGAACCTATTTCGCTCGCCATTAGCCATTAGACAAATTATTCTGTACTCCAAACATATTAATTGTATATTAGCCATTTAATTCTGCTTACAATTTTTCAATAATCAATACAGAGCTAGAATTCATAAAAAAATACTCGATAACAAATATAAATATTAGCATTCAATTTAACTTGTATTCCATTATGTAGACCGAATGAGGGCGAAAGTATATGCAGATGCACCGTTAGCTAGCAATGACGATTATTCTACTTCATCTCAGTTCAACTTAAATTCTATGCCAGTTTTGGTTTGTTCTCATGGTTTGGGGTGCCATAGAGCTATGTTAAGCAACTTGTGTTCTGAATTCGCCTCTTATGGCTACGTTGTTGCATCTCTTGACCACAGGTATATAGCAAGTGAATGTTTAAATGAGATGATTTTATGAAGATCCTCCTTATCCATTATGTCCAACCATATAATATTCGACTTAATTCATAAGTTTCTTATCAAATAATAGTCTTAAACTATTGCGATGAAAAGGTTACATAACAGTTTACAACGCTATACTACTGTTTATTAGTCTAAAACGCGAATGCAATATCGCTATGTCAAGACGTGAGCGCCATCTGAGCCCTTTACTACTAACACAAGTCATAGTTGTTGTCTTTTATATGCTACTAAATCAAACTTGTGGAGGCATGAATTTAGCACATTAAAATTAGTTTTTTATCAGCATCTAGTAGATCAAGGAACTTTGCACTTATCTTAGGAGATCTTACTTGTTATAGTTGATAAAAGTATTGATTAAACCAGTTTTGTTTCTTTACAATGTACAGGAACAAAATTGGTTCGATTAAATATTGCATATATATATCCTTACCGTTAGAATTTTACTGTAAGAAAGCTTGATTCAGTATTTAACTCCTACTAGATTTGTTTTACTACGTGGTGTTTTCAAATAGGATTTACTACAAATAGTCGTGACCGCAAGTTTGTATTTGAAGCGAGTTTTCAATGCTTCTTGTATAAGTGGTATTTACTGCAGAGCCATTATCTTTTTGCTTTCTATTCTCTGATGAAATGCTAACAAATCAATCTCAAATCTACAATAGCGTTTTAAATTTTTAAATCTTCACTATCTAAGTATTCTTAAATGAATAAATTTCATCATCCAAATTACTGACATTAAAGATTTTTATTCAGTCTTTGTTAATAACTGTGGACATTATAAATGCATAAATAATCACATTATTTGCACATTAATAACTATAAAAATTAAAGTATCTATAATTCATAATTATAGCGATTAGTTAGATATCGCTGCATTTCGATGAATGTAGTTAGTCATATGAAAGAACATATGACTAAATACTATACCTTATATCCATCTTTCATTACAGTACTTATGTTATTTGGGATACATAAAGCCTTATATGCAGCCACCTTTAGCAATTGTATGTTACTTTCAGCTTACTGTATAATTCGACCACTTCTGTAGAGATGGATCTGCTTGTTACACATACTACATCAATGAGGAAGGCAAACGTGTCGATGTCCCTTTCAAATTCTTGAAAACGAATGGAGACTACGAAGATAGAAATAGACAAGTAAGACCTTTTATTAGTAACTGATCTATTCATTATCATTGTTTAATACTTTAATTATTATTGCTGGTTTAAAAAATGGCAAAATTCTCTTGATATTAGTTAATCATTTGCCAATAATTCAATGCTTAACGATTATATTTTATGCGATCTATTTCTGTATAAATAAATTGATATATAATTAATTAATGAATTTATATTAAACTGTGGATCAAAGAATTGCGAACTAGCTCGCTGTTACTCTAGCTGTATATCATAAGCGCATAATCTATTACATTTATTACACTTATAAGAGCATATCTGCATCATATGATAGATATAGCATAAGTAAAACAATCTCATTCTCATGTATCCTAACATCAACGGTTGTTATTAAAATCAGATACATATGTATTTAATTTCTGCAAACTTAGTTTAATTAATACCATAAAAAATCTATATACTACTTCAGATCTAATGTTCTTTATCATTGAATTTATGCACCTATTCATAAGTATCTCAAATAATCATAGTTATCGGAGTAACCATAATACTGTACGTTTTTAAAATATCAGCTAGATTTTATATATCCTAAAACGTCATTAGTTCTTTCATGAATTTTCGATAAAATACGTTAAAAATTACTTGAGCTGAATTAAAAATTACTACAGATTTGCCTACGATATAGAACTTCTATATATAGATTGTATAATATATAGACCAAATATCTTCGTAATTTATTAATGCTCACATTTGAGATTTCAATAAACACGCAAGTATATCAAGTATCTCTTCCTTTAATTTATACTCCTGTACTACAAGAACTTTATTTTTAGTCAACATTGTCTATAGGTTTTAGCTAAGCCTTTCACAATTATTGATAATAGCAGTACAGTCGTAACATTGATTGTAAATAGGATTAAATAATTATATTCGCATTATTCTGAATCTATTGCTCATTAGGTCAATCAGAGAGCAAGCGAATGTTCAATGGTGGTAGACTTCTTGAACAAATTGCAAAATGGTGAGCCTGTTAAGAATTTATCAAAGACAAACTTCGATTTAGGCCAATTTGAAGTATGCGATTATAATCTTTTGTTATGTCCTTACATGTATTTCAAATAACTAAAGCATTGCAGTTTCAATAATTCGGAAATTAATATTGAAGTAAATAAAAAGCAACTATTATCCACGAAAATAGAATCGCCTAATCATGTCATCCGTGGGAATCTTTGGGCACTCCTTCGGCGGCGCTACAACAGCAACCGTATTGGTAAAAGATCACCGATTTAGTTGTGGAATAGCTTTAGACCCTTGGATGTTTCCTGTTGATCATGATCTTCATCATAATTTTAACAAACCATTCTATGTTTTGAACGCTCATTCATTTTCTTGGCCGCATAATATAACACAGATTCAAAGATTTATGGACAAAGATAATACAGAAAGTAAGTCAGATTTATAAAGATATGATAAAGTCCATTACTATGAGGATTAGCATTAATTTGTGAACAATTAGCTCACCGCTTTTATGAAACTGATTTCACCAATAAATCTAGATGCGGACAGAAAACTATTTACAATAAGGTAAGAAGCAAAAAAAATAAAGCTCTTTTATCCTGCATCTATAGAAAAGATGAATCATGCACTGCTTTGGCAGATCTGAGGAAAGCTTTAAAATAAAATTTATAACTGTTCCTTAACAACGCTAGGGAAACTTGTCATATAGATCTGACTGATTTTCCATTGCTACTTCCCTACTTTCTTGCAAACCAAACGACCAAAGTTGGTAATTTGGATCCCTCACTAAAGGGTGCAGTCAGTAACAAAATCTGCTTCGATTTTTTTGAAAAATATCTATGTAAGTTCTTCTTCTTAAGTGAAAGTTTGTAACGTTACAAAACTATTTATACAACTTAAAACTACTATAGAATATTGTTATTGGGTAAACCTGTGTAGCATTGAATTGAAAATATTTTTATCATCAGGCTGCACAGAATGCAATCGGTATAGAGGTGGCAACATCAATGTTCTAGATTATGCTTTTGAAGGAACAAACGTCGAAGTTGCTGGGCATGAAAATGACGGTAAAGAACTAGATGTACTAAAATTAATCTTCTGGTAGAGAATAATTTAAAATTATTATAAAATCTATAATATATATTCTGCCGTGGTCCATATCACATTAACATTTTGACCGTGTTGTATTGCCAATAAATTAATTTATGATCCCTGTTGTGAAAAAATAGTAATTCTTCAGAAATGTATGGTGTCGTATGACTACCGTGCACCTACTCATGCACGATCGTTCTGTGTTTCTTATATTTTTAGCGCCGCAATTACCTACGTGATAATTGTAGTTACTATATTGTCTTATACATACAGTACACACTGAAGTACCGTCGAGAGATGTTAATAAGCACTATCTTGTATGCTATGAGTATACCACATGCACTTATATTCGTATATACTCGTATATATACGTATGTTAGAAGTAACTAAAGTTAGTTGTCACATTGAGGAGTTAGCCTCATGTTGTTATTGATCTCTCTACGTTAATTGGATCTCGTTGTTGCACTAGTAAACCCCCTTTCTTCTATTGTTACCATCTCTGCACATCATTATATAATATTATCACGTATGGCATGTAGCACTTATCTTCACATAAACCGTCGATAGACGCATTTAATTATATACTTATTATTACTCTTTGATTATGAGTTTCTTCCTAAAACAAGCTTGCCGTAACTGCAGCACAGCATTGTCATGGTGCATTTATAGCTCAAGAATAAATTATTTTGATAATTATTTTGATAATTTATCAGGAAACGCATGATATTTTAGTTGAAGTGTGCTGAATTGGTATTAACTTGATAAATTCTATCAATATATGATAAGGCTATGAAGAAATTATGAGGATAATTAAACATAAGATAAAGTTTTTTAACGATTTTGTATCAAGTGTTGTATCTGTGTAATGATTTTATTTTACATTAGAAAATAGCTGCGTTCTCTAGTAATAGTAGGAAATGTATAATAATTAATTTCTACAATCACTCCTACTTGACTCACGATAATAAAACATTAACAGTGTGTGCTCCTCATTTACAGTACATCGTAATAAGTGAAAGTGCACTCAATGAAAATAGATTTTCACCGTCTTCGATCAACGATATTCGTAGCTACTCTGTCTGTGAAATTTTAAGAATAAAAATTATTTTTACATCTATGTAGATATAATTTTAGCATGTAAAATTGAATTCCTTTACAAATCACAGATCATAATTGTATACTTATTTATGGCTAAATGAAAGCCTTTTAATACAGCTTTTGTATATCCGTAGTCGGAAACTACAATTGCATTATAGTCCGCTATAGCTGCAATATTAAATTATGGATTGTTTCAAAAAGATATACGAGTACATACACTTAGGGTTTTAAATTCTATGTATGATCTATACCGAATTGCAGATACGATTTTTTGTACTTAAGAAGAAATTTCTTACAATAATTAATATACGGGCACTTAATAATATATATAATATGTACAGAAACGAGCTTACTATCTATATATATTACAGTACCATCAGGAAGAGAAAGTTATATTTCAACACTGTCTCGGCAAATAGCTATTGACATTTTAATAATTATGGGTTGTTTCAAAGGGAGATGCATATGCTTAGGATTTTAAATCCTATGCTAATTTAAAGGGATTCAGCATTTATTGCAGATACGATTTTTGCACTTAAGAAGAAATTTCTTACGATAACATTCGCGTACTTAACACTATACGAGAATAGCATGTACAGAGAGGGACTTACTGTAAGCATTACAACCCAATAAAAGAGTTATCTTACGAACATCTAACGATATTTTTAATAATTTTGAGTTATTTCAAAGGGAGATACATACACTTAGGATTTTAAATCCAACGTATGATTTAAAAGGGGTTCAGTATTTATTGCAGATACGATTTTTTGTATTTAGGAAGAAATTTCTTATAATAACATACGCATACTTAACATCGTACTGTACATAACAGAGAGGGGCTTACTGCACATATTACAACCCAGTGAGAAAGTTGTCTTTCAACAATGCTTCGGTAAACACCTAACGATATTTTCAATAGCTTTGAGTTGTTTCAAAAGGACATCCATACACTTGGGATTTTAAATCCGATGTATGATTTAAAGGGGTTCTGCATTTATTGCAGATTCGATTTTTTGCTCTTAGGAAGAAATTTCTTACAATAACATAAGCGTACTTAATACTGTATATAACATAATAAAGAGGGGCTTGCTTTACATATTACAACCCAGTGAGAAAGTTATCCTTCAACAATGCTTCGACAAATATCTATCGAAATTTTTACTAATTAGAAGCTAATTAACTACAAAATTGCTTGCCGTCCCCTTCCTTCCAGCTTTGAATTACAATAATTTTAATTATTATTATTATTATTATTATACAGTAGTTATTAACGTCAGGCCAAGGCCTGTAGTACAGTACAATGCACTGTAAAGCTCTGGTATGCAGTGTACTGTACAGTACTGCACAGTACTGTACTGTATAAAACTATCGCGCGTAATACTGTACTGTACAGTCCTGTACAGTTTGTACTGTAGGCATGTTACACAGTACATTACACTGTAATCGCAAGGGCGGCGCGTTTCCATGGCTGCAAACATCGTTTTTGTACAGTTATCCACTTGGCATGCTCAGAATTCAAAATTGACAGAGTTGCAAGATGGCGCAGGTGAAACAAAGGAATTTAGATCGATTTTGCTATAGCAAAGTCGCTTTAATGGATGATAATCGACTTGGGAGAAGTTTACCCTTGATGAAAAATATCGATAAATCAACCCAAGATGAGGATACGAGTGTTACTGATGTCGAAAAAGGATTACAGACACAAATTGTAAGTAAACACCAACAATCTCAACACTTACTGTTACTGGCAGCGAGTCAACGACTGTTAGTACTCAAAAATAAAGAATTCTAATCAAAGGCAATACTGTTAGTTTATCTCGGTCGCCAATGGTAGTCCTAGACTAGCGTACAGCATACTAATAGAAATGTACACACCTTACTTGCAAAGGCTCGTTTTTTATTACTCTCCAAAGTACAAATCTTCCTCCACAGTTTTGGGGGTAAATTATAAAAAGGATGGAATTCATCCTCTGTCAAATAGACTGTGACCTACGGTACTTGTGGTCGGCATACATTACTGTCTAGTAGTATTTCCATCAAGTATTGTATTGGATGGTATACTGTAACCGTATCCTTCTATAGTACTCTCTAGTCACTATGATGCATTACTGTATGTACTCTATCTAAACTAATTTAAAACGTTATCGATAAATCACGATAACAGGAATTCTAATTGCTAGATGTATAAATCAACTAAAATCGTGACTATTATTCTACATTTAGTAAGTGTTTGACTGTAGAAAAATATACGTATTGCGATAGAAAATGTTAAGTAATAATTCGAGTTCATTATTGATCAATATTCAATCTAGGATCCTCAACTTCACTGGAAATTAAATAAATCGGCCATGTTTGTTAGTAACATAAATCAACGTTTAAATAAATCATTGAATTATTCTTATCACTACTCCCCGCTAAATTACATCAAAATTGGTCGAAGTAATGTTAACACAACTACAAGTACATCAGACAACGAGGAAAGTAGTAGTATCGATGAAAGCGCAGTCCAAGGCGAATTAGATCAATTATGCCAATCAATAAATAGCTGTAGTTTTGCTTCTGGCTATGCAGTAGGTTCGTTATCCAAGCCGAAAGGTTCTGGACTAAATGCATCAATGGGAGCCTCGTGGCAATTTTATAATTTCGTCGGTATGTTAATGTATAAATTTCGACTCAATCAACACGCTGATAATCATTTTCTTATACCTATATTATCTTTTTTATTTTTCCGAAAATATGATTTTCCAATTGCATTTTCTCCTTAGGTGATGTGGGTAGCGCTTTACCTAAAATTATCCGTAACCCTAACAAAGCTGTTGTCACGTTAGACGCTCGCACATCATGTATTTTAATGGCTAATAGTATCGCTTGCATGATGTTTGGTTATAAAGAGCATGAATTAGTCGGTATGAAAATGTCACAGTTGTTGTCGCATAATCAAGACCGACAAGAAGCACTTGGTGAAGAGATTCTCGATACTGATGGTCAAGTAGTCTTCATTAATGGCAAAGTGGTTAGTTGATAATCTACAAGTATAACAATGGAACATAGCCTACTGTATAACAATATCTTTCTAAACCCTCCTCCCCCATGCTGCCTATCATATAGTTTATACTTTTAGTTAATGATCTTGATTCTCTTACTATTCTGCTTCAAACCGTATCCGCATTTCAAATTGTCGATATATTAAACTGGCAGCTATAATCATATTTGTAGATGGATGCTGTTGATGCTAAAGGTAACTTAATACCGGTATCATTATGGATGAAGAAAATGCAATCGTCCTCCAACAAAAATATTCGCTGTATTGCCGTTATTGAACCGGTTGAACGAGTAACAGCTGCAGTCTTATTTGATTCGAAGGTAGGAGGTGATTATAAAAATGATATAACGAGAACATTGAAGATAGCAACATCTCAATAATGAATGCTATGTCCTAAAAAATGTTATCAGTACGGTATCACCCTTTTATAACGGTTATAATGATTATTGATGATACAAAGGTGAAAACAAAGTAATTCTTGATATAGTAATTATATTTCGTTATAGTTTTAATATACCCATAGTATTGATGGTAACGGTAGTGCAGGTGTACGATACTATACAATTACATGCAGATAATGGTAACAATACAATCTACCAGAGTGGAATAAATAAACAAAGAATGTATTATATTTATACTCCAAATAATGATTTTAGCTTAAGGAGATAGGTGAATATAGAAATTTGATTACTCTTATGAAAATTGTACTCGCTATGATACCTTTACGTAATAAATTAGGCGTTCTAATGAAACAGCTTGATTTATAAAGTAACATTAATAGAGGTTAATGTGATATTATTATTACATCTAAGCGATTCTACTTTTACCAGATTGCTAAATTAGCTGCCTAGTAATTAATGTACTATGCGGCGGGTATAACAGTAGCAAATTATTATATTTATAATTATTGACATCAAACGCTTTCAATGCTCGGTAATACTTTTGCGAATCGATTAGAGTATACTGTATACTTGTTAGCTTTATATTGATAAATGATATAATGACATCACTTTATCAGTTTTTAAATCTTGACACCACTATGAGTATAAATTTATTATGATGCTTTATATATGCACGAGTACATTACATGTATAAGTCTATTGACCTTAATTTAATTATATTCTATACAATGTATCGTCTTATATGAATACAGTTCATATTTTGCGATAAAATTTTTCGCTCGGTAGCTAACCTTAGAAGACTAAATATGCAGCAACTATTAGTAGTTATCTTATTTAAAATTTTAATCTTAAGTAAGAGTTAAAATCAGCTAATGTAACCCTACGCAAGTTCTTAAGTATGTGCTTGCGCAAGATATGAGTATACTCTTAGTTTTTAGTCATGAATCAGCGGACAATTAAAATTTTTTGCATTATCTTATATCCATAATTTTAGTATTGTCACCTTTAAAATATGGACCATATTTGTTTACATGATAGCTGAATACAGACCCTGTTTGAATATTTTTACCTATCTGTAACATTGTAATTCTGAATTTATATTAAATCATAATCCAGGGATCAAATTGCTTATGTTAACTGTATAGAAATAATTCTATGATTACGTTAGAGCGCAACAGTTATTTTAAGCGCAGCAATATATACTCTTTACATCATACGTTCTGAAGTAATTGCTTTTAAATTAATAGATTTCGACTATAACGCGAATGATGTAGCATACTAGCGAAGAGAGTTAGCATGAGACAAATTATTGAATGTGTTGTCTCATCTAACCATTACCTAAGCTAAATTCTTCCTTATGTATCTTTAATTCTATTTATATAACACAGTTCCTGTTACTTTAATTTTAATGGTATTTATCTATTTGGTCTCTTGGCTAGGGTATAATTTTAAATGCTGATAACCAATTTGCCCTCTTGCATGGATATGACTCTATGGATGATATTCGTGGTTCAAAATTGACAAACTTAATACCATCGTTAACAATTCCACCTGATGGATCATCTATAAAAAAGGTTAGTTAATGCATTTTTTAATAATAAGATATACAAAAATATACGTATATTGTACATATTGTATGCTTACTATCATATACGATGTACTCTTGATGTTCTTCCGAATCTTGTATTTCCACTATATGGATGTCTGCACCTTATGCTAAAATAAATACGCATATAATAATCACCGAACTAACAAAGCAGTCGTGATAGTGGATCAAAATTACACACAGTACAAGTTTTGTACAAGCATATTAATTACATCAATATTGTTAATTAGGAATTGAAGCGGCAGTTGGCTACTGGGCGAACTAAAAGTGGCAACAATTTTCCCTTAACAATGGCTATAAAAGAAGAGAAAGATGAGAGTCTATTGCAACAAGCCAAAACTTACTGTTCGGAAGTTTTAAATTATGACCTAACCAATACTCCTTGCTTATATCAAGGGATAGTATGGGTTTTTGCAAACATAAGCGGATTAATTAGTTTCTTACCTGATGGAACAATTCATAACTGTAATGAGTACTTCATTAAGACTTTGCTTGGCTATTCTAAAGAAGAATTAATCGGAAAAGATGCTACTTCCATTATTCCGCAGTTTTATGACCATATTAACAGCGGCATTGACGATAATTCAATGCCTTTACCGCCGATGGATGAAGAAGATTCAACAATCTCAAATTCTTGTAAAGGTATTTTATGCTGCATATAACTAATAATGCTCAATTTTTTATTTTTTGAAAAGATATGTTGTCTAATTAGAAACTGTAAGCTCATAGTCAATTAATTTAATTTTAATTAATTAAATGTAATTAATAGACCTTTCAACAAGAGCATTTCATGGTGATTCCTATATTTCTGATGTATCCGATATTTCATTCAGTTCACAACCTGTTAATGAAAATTATAGCACATACGACGATTTAAACGCTCAACGAAGTAAACGGGACAAATAGTTTAATAACAAATAAAATTATATCCTTGATCTTGTAAAATAGTTCCTATCATTAACTCCGTGATAATTAAAAATTTATATACGAATATATTTAGATGATCAAGATATAACATCCACACCTATCCGTTCTACTGGATTACTCAGTTCTCAACACTCGGAAGATATACAGCTTGCAACTGACACAAGTAAAATTAAAGAAGGCTGCTTTGTTGGTGTTGCTATACATAAAGACGGAAATTTTCTAGGTATAGCAGTTTAACAATCATCTCCTTACGATCCTCTTTAAAATTATATCTTTTCTTAACCTAGTTAGTAACATTATAGTAATGTGGTAATTATGATTACAAAAAGAAACATGTTTTATTAGTTGTACCTTTATTTTTGATCTTAATCGCAATTAACAATTAAATGACTGCTGGTTTATTATATGACAGGAATCATATTTCAAATCAAGCGCATAGTACTTGACAACGATAAAGTTATTTACTGTACTTGGATCGCTCGTGATCCTGACGATTTGGGTGAATACGGCCGAATGTCAGCCAGCATGACATTGGGTTCTAGTTTTAATAGCTCTCTCTATGCTACTCCCATGAAAGATATACCAACAAGACCACCAAGCCAAAGTGTTGAATATGAAAGTGAAGACGAACCATGGCACGGATCTTATGATAAGCATTATACTACATTAGAAACATTAGGTAAAGGCGCATTCGGATTCGTACAACTAGCGGAAAGAAAATCGGATAAAAAAAGTTGTGTAGTTAAATTTATCCAAAAATCGAAAATATTCAATGAATCATGGATGAATATAGAAAAGTATGGTAAAGTCCCTTTAGAAATATACTTTCTTAGTCAACTTAATCATCCAAACATTGTTCGTATGATTGACGCATTCGAAAATAAAGACTACTTCCAAGTTGTGATGGAAAAGCATGGCTCTGGTATAGACCTTTTTGAATTTATAGAATGTGGGCCAGATTTCGATGAAGCCTTAGCAAGTTATATTTTTCGCCAAATTGTTGCAGCCGTTGCTTACTTACATCAATTAGACATCGTCCATCGTGATATTAAAGATGAAAATATCATCATTAACGAAATGTTCCGTGTTAAGTTGATTGACTTCGGCTCAGCGGCATTTATCGAACCTGGTAAATTATTTTCCACATTCTGTGGTACTGTTGAATATTGTGCACCGGAGGTTCTATTAGGAAACAAATACCCAGGTCCCGAACTAGATATATTTGCCTTAGGTGTCACATTATATACACTGACCTTTGGCGAAAACCCTTACTTAGACCCTGAAGAAACGATTAAAAGTAAGTTAAAGCCTCCATTCCAAGTTACTAAAGCTCTATTTGGAGTTATATCTTGGCTATTACATCCAAACCCAAATGAAAGAGCTACCATTTGGGATATAGAAAAAAATCAATGGGTTAATCAACCTATTAATATAACACATTATTCATGGGATAAAGTCACGCATCAACAATTGTTAATAAACAGAAAGAGCCAGGGTACAGAACAGTTAGATGATGCAAATGATGGTGATAGCTGGGACGATTCTGATTCAGAAGTACAACTTCACCATGAAATGAAAAAATACTTGGAAGTTAATAATGAAGCTAATAGATTAAATTCTACATTTTAATTTTATTCATTCTTTACCCTATTTAACTTGAATTAGCAAACTGTAGAAAAAATTCATCTCAAAGTCAATTCAAGAAGAAAGGAAACATATATATTATTATATTACGTAAATCCTCAATTGTCATATAAAAAGCTAGATCTTGTACTATATAATTTGCCTTATATGTACGCTATCTTAATATTATTTACAGTTATCAGTAGTCGTATATATAATGTTTGATATTTTTCGTCATATTTAATACACTTCTTTGTAATAGACTCTTAGGTATAATTCTTAAAGCTATGAATAATTATTCGATACAAGCTACAATTGATAAACTGATGTGAATAGATATGTACATGTATGTATATGCGTATACTCGTACTGTATATCCTTTATTCGTAATTATGTTGTATGGTGAATACGTTCCTATTAACTTTCTGTTAACATGGTTTAACTTTACCAGAAGTATAACCAACTTGTCAACTACACGAATATTTAATATAATGAAAGAAAAAAATGACCCAGTTAAGTGTTAGTCAATTAACTTAGGTATGATCTCGGATAAAAATTTTGCTTAATAACATTAAAATTATTCACTTCATACCTCTACATACTATCGTCTAGTATCCTGTATAAACAGCTGTAGTTTATAGTCAATTTGTTATTGAGCAATTTCAAAGCGAATTGGTAGATCAAAATAGTCAAGTTGATTTTGCGATTGAAATTAAAGATTATATGATCTTCTTGTAGATTTATTAGAGTAGTATAGTACAAATTACTGAAGTATTTATTTCTATTCTTTAGAATGATCTTGCAGTCAATTAAAGAAAGAAAGTACTCGAACACTTATTTTAGCATTCTTCCATTGTATATTTCAAGTAGCGTAAACTTGATGTATTTTATCTTTATTAATCGTAGCGAATACAATGTAATAATAAAAGTTACATGCCCTTAACAATTAATCCATCATTAATATTATCTTCTCACCATTAACTTTCATCATTCTTAACTATTAAAATTTCAATTTTACTGACTTATGTTGAAAGGGCGATTTAATAAGGACACATCCATTCATTATGATAAACGTCAATTACAAGTCACTAAGCATTAGTAAATTAAAACATTATCTGACTATAGTAGACATTAGACAGCAGTCTAATGTACAAGAATACTCTATATTAAATAAATATTAAGATTAACAGATAATACGTAATACTAATTGTTAAAGGATATAATACGGTAAAGTAGATACGAGCGTATACTCCTGAGATTTTCAATAGCTAAATACGAGCTGAGCAACTTACAGAACGACGATATACGGGCATTACTTGTATTTACGTGTATATCACCTATACTACATCTAAATCAACAATAAAAATGCGATTTCAAACGTACAGAGTAAATTTAGAATAATACGTATGAGTACATGAGGATAATTAATATCATGTAAAATGAAAGTAACAATGTATCGTTACCAACGACATATAACATAAGTTAATGTTACACAATGGTAACTTCGTATTTTACAATTTAACAAAATACGTATAACTACATATAGATAATTAATGTAAAGAAATGTAAAGTGTAGAGATCAAGCTACAAAACTTTAACAAACTTTGATTCTACTTTCGTTGTACTCCGGTTGACTTAACGCTAATACTTTGACATCAAATAAAATTTGGGGAAATAATCGAACAACAATTTATTACAAAACAAAAATGGAGAGAAGTATAAACCGAACAACCTTACAAATACTTAGCTTTAAGTATTATTAAAATAATTGACAGACTTAAAAACTGTCAACGACCAAACAACCTTTCAAAAAGAAGAACGTTTAACTTACGACAATTCGACCCCAAAGGCCTTTTAAATTCAATAAGTTCTTCAAATAAAATCTTCTTCTACTCTCTACCTAAATTTTCTAATTGCACTATCATTTATAGGCTTCGTAGAGCCGTCAGAGGTATTTAAAACTAAACAATTGCTAACCAATCGCTCTCAAGATCCGTTTTAGGAAACTACTTTGCACC